TCGCAGACAGAGCCGGAATGGATCCTCGATCGGCTCTGTGAAAGCCTCATTCGATATGTGGATGGTCAAAGTCGCAGAAAGCCTTCTGACCAAAATGAAAAACCTTTGAATGTAGCCAACGGCGATCAGGATGACGAAGAGCCGACGTTGAAGAAGGAAAGAGACATCGGTCTTGAGGATGATTAGAGCTATTCAATTTGCTTTATTGGACTTCTTCGATTCAAATATGAATTGATTCTTTATATACAGAATGATGCTCTAACAGCTTATACCTCGCTAGACAATTCCACTCTTCGTCTGGTCATTGAATTCTCTTCTTCGAACATGCTACTTATCTTATTTGTAGTCAAGAAATAGCTCTGAATCAGAGCCAAATTCAATATTCAGAACTGATATAAGGCCACTTCCAGCATTAGGGCTTTCTCCGGGTATTCTCGTTGAATAAAAATCAAGCCAACAGGCTCCCAAGTCAACTGGTAGGACTATCCCAAATAGGAAATCCTCGGTAAACTTCAGGATCCCTGGGGCCTGAGGAGAACAGCTTTACATGTTCGGAACAACCATCGGTCCGCTCCGCGTGTCAACTGTCAACGGTCTCCGCATCTCAACTAATCTGTCTCTGTTCGATCGCTGCCTTGGTCGATAATTGTAGGGGTATTTGGTTGAAGTTAGACGTCCGATGGGCTCGCTGAAACAAAAGTCTGTGTCAAAATAGGAGAAAGAAGATGGATACTTTTGCGATCACGGAAGGCATCGTTCCCGAAAACAATCAAGATGGCCACGACGCCGAAAGAGCCGGCTCCGAGCAGCAGCTCCCTGAAGAAGCGAACAAATTCCAACGTGCCATTGCGGCCTGGAGAGGTAAGTCATCATTGAATGCCTCGTCTGTCTTGAAACTCATAGGTGCTGATATCTCTACTCCAATCAGGCATCGACTTGAGTACAACTGTCGCAAAACTAGACGCTACGGCTTCGGATATTGTCGCTCAACAGCGAGATGCACTCGTACAGAGAAAGGATCTAGCCCAGAAGACAAAGGATTTCCGAAAATTAGACGATGCTTCCAAGCTTGCGGAATACAAGGGTCTCCTGAAATGTCCGTCCTATCTCGGCCGCGATCAAATTGATCTTTCGGGCTAACGTATGGTAGCATACCAGAGCTTCATTGATCTCTTGACCAATCAAGGGAAAGCCTCCTCATCCGCCTTCCTACAGCTCTACTCTTCTCTGTCGGAAGCTCCTGACCCTTACCCGCTACTTGAAGCCTCAGTCGACTCCCTTGTGCTCTCCGAGCAGACCGTCCCGAAATTGACGTCCGAGAGAGACCAATTGCAGACATCTGTGAATCGCCTTACATCCCAATTGGAGGATACGGAGAAGCGACTAGAGGAGGAGCGAGCCGCGCGAAAGAACTTGGAGGACAAGCAGGAAACGAAGATCAAAGAGATCGAGTCGTCCTGGTCCGCCGTATTGGCGGAAAAGTCGAACAACTGGGCCGCGAAAGAGAAGAGCTTGGAGGAGAAGGTTGAAAACCAGGAACGCTTGCTGAAGGAAGTCAAGGCAAGTTACGAGGTATCACAAAGGTTGGGCCAGGAGAACGATGGCGGTGATGGCTCCCACCACGGGGCGACTGCTGCGGAGCTAGAATTGGTGTCTGCCGACCTGGAAAAGACGAGCTTGCGGCTGGCCGAGGTGGAGGCACGAAACGAGCAACTCAGGCTTGAGCTGGCTCAAGCCGTTTCACATTCGCAGGCTACCCAGGCGGCTTCGGTTGAGGACGATCCCGCCTATCTTCGCCTTCAATCGGAAAACTCGTCCTTGTTGCGCAAGTTGGACGCCGCGCGGTTCGATCGGGAGTCTGAACGTCACGCATTGGAGTCGAAGCTCTCACAACTAGAGAGACAGAGCTCGAAGGTGGCTGCTGAGAGAGACGAGCTGCGGTCGCGATTGGAAAAGACTGCCGACTATGAAGATATCCGCCGCGAGCTGGAGATGATCAAGGTAGGATATATTCTATGCCAAGATAGCCGTACTTGCTTGCTGATTCTTCGCAGTCCATTGAGTTCTCTGGGGGTGATGGGGACGATGATGAGGCTGGAGATTCCACAGGCAACGCTAACGGGACTAACGGTACCCCTTTGAAATCTAAGGATGGATCCAAGGGTACTAGTCTAGAGGGGCTGCTCTTGGCTCGCAACAAGAAGTTGACAGATGAACTTACTGTTCTTCGTGTGTCCCATCGTGACCTCCAAGGTCAGCTTGAACTTCTCGGTGAGGATCTCTCGAATACCAAACAGGAATTGGATAAGTCCAAGCAGCTATCCACAACCCTGGAGAATGATCTGCTCCGTGTACAGCAAGAGGCGGCGAATGCTTTCCCATCATCTGCAATGTCTGTTGCCGGTACCTACAGCTCGAGGTACCCCCACTCCTCCAGGAGGGGAGCAGCGTCGCCGACATCGTCGATAATTTCAGGCTTTGATCAGACAGCAGCATCCGCCAATACAATGGACGCTATACGCGCCGGGGAGCCTGTGGGTGGTGGTTCCGGTCTGCTTCCTATGATACAGGCTCAGCGTGACCGCTTCAAGAAGAAGAATGCGGAGCTAGAGGAGGAGTTGTCGAAGATGTACAGCACAGTCAAGTCCTTGAGGCAGGAGGTTGCTTCTCTCCAGAAGGACAACCTCAGCCTTTACGAGAAAACGCGATATGTCTCAGCGTACAGCCGTGGCGGAGCCTCCTCATCTGCCTCTGCCTACGCGAATAAACCTAGCAACTCCTCCGTTCATCTCTCTGCGGACACGCCCTCTAGACTTTCACTAGACCGGTATCAGTCCGCCTACGAAGCTCAGCTATCACCATTTGCTGCTTTCCGAGGCCGTGAATCGGCACGGGCGTACAAGCGCATGAGCTTGCCCGAGAGGATCGTGTTTTCTATCACACGAATCATCTTGGCTAATCGAACCAGCCGAAACCTCTTTGCAGGGTATTGCTTTGCCCTGCATATCTTACTGTTTCTAGTGTTGTATATGATGAGCACCATGGAAATAGAGAAACACAGTAGCGCCAGTCTGGGGGCTGCTGCCGCTGCTGCGATGGCCGGCGGAGGCGGGTCTGGGAGTGGCAGTGGCCAGCTACATGGTGATGATTGGCAACAAGAGGGTTTCAACCATGCAGCCTAGTGTCCATCTGACTCCTCTTTTTTTTTTGTTCTCTATTTTTGGCAGTCGGCGTTTACAAGGTCAGAGATATCTAGTTATTCAGCCATGGTTGCATATACTATCTTCTAATCTATTTCGTCTCCGTTCCCAGTATTTGAAGCAGTCAACAGCGTTGAAAGGTTTTCGGGGTCTGGATACTATGGATACGGTCCAATACCGACCTGGGGTGTCGGATATACTCTTGCTGCCATCGATGAGTACTTATTTAGCAATGTCTTAGCATGTGGTGGTGTGGGCCCGCATGCATCTCGAAGTCACAGGCTTGATTCCTTCTTACCTACCCGGCATCGGAATTTGGTGAACGGGAGGTGGGTAGAAGAAGAAAAATGTCTGTTTGATGAAGTAAGTGCCTGGCAGTGTCGCAAACACAAAAAAAAGAAATCACCAAAAATGGAAGGTGTTGTTGGCCCGAGCCGCGGATCGAACGCGGGACCTCTCGCAGATATGCTTGGGTTAATCCCTAAGCGAGAATCATACCACTAGACCACCCGGGCCTCCGTGAATAAAATGCGCTTCTTTGATATTGATGTCCCTACAAGACCCAAAATCGGGCCACAAGTCTTACTTCTGGAGTTGGGAGTTGCTAGTGTGCTTCTAGAGATACAAGTTGTGAGCAAAGAAGGTGTTCTTATCATAGCACTAGGGACCAAAGTAGCTTGAAGACAACCAAGTGGTGCCAATCAACTTAAGTTAACGTCATATACGTCGAAGGCATAATCACATTGGAATGTCTGCTTGATGTTTACCCCGCAGCTTGATATATTCCCAAAAATAACAACAGTCTAGGCTAGCAGCTTAACATCAGTCACCATCAACACTCGACCATTGGACAATGAAGACCAATGGCCCAGTTAAATTACACGAAAGGACGAGGGAATATCCAAGGAAGCACCAAGAGATCCCAGACCGATTGACACGAGTCAGGACCAGTCCCATGGCAATCTGCCATTCTGCACACTAACCCAGGTTGGCATATCTCTAAGCGCCGGCCATGCAGACCGGGGATATTATTAGACAACAGAAGGATGCCGGAGATTTCGATGCCAATCAGCACAAGCATAACCTTGCTAGATTTCGTCAATACATGTAAGCTCCGACCGATCAGAAATTGTCAAGACTGCCGAGTCAGATGCACCAATCTGCGCCCGAGGAGGACGTTTCTTCTGCAGCGCAAACCGCCCAGCGAGCATTTCATGTCTCGACTAAACTGCCGTCGAAGCCTAACGGATTCGACCAGCGCATACTGGTGCCAATGAGCGAGCTTCATTGCGCATGGCTATAGCAGGCGGCTTCAGCGAGAACCCGACTCGAGGCTGTTAATAGATCCTACAAGTCGGGTTTCAAGCCTAAATTGCATGTTACTATAATTTCTTCACTGACATGCAGATGGGAGATCCGTGCAATTTATAACAGTCATGCAGCCATGTGAGCCTGGCGGTTATATAGGATATTCGTCCTGGCTGTTGAGTAGGAATCTTCTTACTCCCAGTCATGTTCCTTGCTGTCTAATTTTCCTTGCTGGTGTGCATTTTTTTCCTCGGCAGGTCTTCTTTGTTTGTCATGTCGTCTTGAGTGTCAGCAGTCGATACCAAGGTCATTTTCTTTGTTGCACTCGTACTCAACACTTCTTTACAGCTCAATAATCTCCACTCTTCCTCTCCTCCTCTCCTGTTTTTGCTTCTCATATACGCAATACTCAACTGCATTTTATCACCATCAACATAGCGCCTAGCTGGACTAGGACTTCTAGCGAGAAATACACCAGTAAAAAGCACCAAGATGCGGCCCCTCATCGTGCTCTTCGCCTGGCTGATGGCAACGGCATGCGCTGCTCCGACTTTCTTCGACAATATCTATGACTACTCCGACGAGCTGGCAGAGTTCTACAGCAAAGTGAGCGAGTACATCGATGATGCGAAGAATGTCTTCACTGCATCAACAACGTGCGATCCATCCAAGATAGCCTTACCCGCATTTGCATCCGGGCTGCCCTCTCCCGGCAACCAAAAGCCATTATATGTCGCCGTTGGCCGCGGAACACAGGTTAGCAATAACCAAACTCTTAGATGACATACTTCGATGTACGGTCTAGGTAGCTAACCCGACGCAGAATTACAGTTGCGCGACCTCAACCGCAGACTCGAAACCGGTCGCCATAGGTGCCGTCGCAAGTCTTTACAACGCAACATGCATTGCAGCAAGCTACCCAGACATGCTGGACATGCTCCCTAACATCGCTTATAAGCTGCAGCTACCCAGCAACTCATGGGCGACTCTACCTTACGCCAACCTCAATCTACTTGGTCACCATTTCTTCGCAGATTCGGTACCTATTTTCAACCTCGACACAACCCCGCAACGACAGTACGGTATAGCGTTTACAAAGAAGCAAGCCGAACTGGCTGCGCCATCTTCTGCATTCAAAGGAGCCAATGGTGCCGTTGCATGGCTTTACCTATCAACCATAAATGGCACAGTTGGAGAATACGAGAGCGTCTACCGGGTAGATACTGCCGCGGGATCGCCTCCAAAGACCTGTGAGAACCAGCAATCAGTTATTACAGTGCAATATGCAGCAAATTACTATTTCTTTGGGAAGTGAGCTGGCGCGAGGATTTCTGTGGCTGTTGAATCATGTACATACTCGTATTTTCCTGGCTAGGATTCCTCTCCCTTAAGAGAATGATCTTGCAAATCATCACGCTTCTGAGTATCTCCGTAATACAGCAATGCGAAATCCTGTAGCTCCTCTCCCGCATGTTATCACAAGCCTCGATCCAATTGGACGAGGGCTTATACAAGTCAGGTGATCTCGCTATCGGTCGATATCACGTGATTAGTCATGTTCCCACATCAGCGAGAGCTCCACTAATCTGTTTCCGGATTAGCGTATTCTGATTTTCGAAAGATCCAAAGGCTCAGTCTGAAAAATCTCGACCGCAACAATCGACGAGCAGTACGGCCTCGACGGAACCCTGAAAGCAGACACGGTGCGGAATTTTCGCATAGCTGCTACCTAGAGGCAATTTATCACCCTCGACACACGGTTCTTTCCAATTGCAACGGGCTTAGCTGTCCTTTACACATCGAAATTTTTTTTCATCTTCGCTACAACAGCAGCTCCGCGATTTGATTCTCAGCCCGTTCTCTCGGCTGTGAAAACCATTTCGATCTCACTCTTTCCGATACTTATCACATCATAATCTACAATGGCATTCGGTGGTCCTAGAGGAGGCGGCCGCGGTGCTCCCCGTGGTGGCCGTGGTGCTCCCCGTGGTGGTGGTGGTGGTGGTCGCGGTGGTAGAGGTTTGTTCATCATCATATCTTCCATCTGGGGCAATAGGCAGGCATAGGCCCCTGATACGGCAGTTCATCTGTTCTCGTACTATTGCTTCTACTGGAACCAGAACTCTGAAGCTTGAATGCGGTCGCCTGTCCTACAGCGTCCCCTGGGAGAAACGGCAAGCTAACTCGATCTCTTCTTCATCTTCAGGCGGACTTGGAAGCGGTGGTCGTGGCCGTGGTGGTCCCCGTGGCGGTGGCCGTGGTGGCCCTGCTCGTGGTCGCGGTGGTCCCCGCGGCGGCGGTCGTGGTGGTGCTAAGGGAGCCAGGGGTGGTGCCAAGGTCATCATTGTATGTCTCTTCTTTGGCTGGGAGCGATTGATGGGTCTGGATACTAATACGGGAATGTGTAGGAGCCTCACCGTCACGCCGGTGTCTTCGTTGCCCGTGGTGGTAAGGAAGATTTGCTTGTCACCAAGAACTTGACTCCTGGAGAGTCCGTCTATGGAGAGAAGCGCATTGCTGTCGAGTCCCCTGCTGGTGAGGATGGCGCCGTCACGAAGACCGAGTACCGTGTGTGGAACCCCTTCCGTTCCAAGCTTGCCGCCGGTATCCTGGGTGGTCTCGATGATATCTACATGAAGCCTGGCTCCAAGGTTTTGTACCTCGGATCTGCCAGCGGTACCTCCGTTAGTCACGTCGCTGATATTGTCGGACCTACCGGAAACGTCTACGCTGTCGAGTTCTCGCACCGTTCTGGCCGTGATCTGATTGGCATGGCCACCCACCGTACCAACGTTATTCCCATCGTCGAGGACGCCAGACACCCTCTCCGCTACCGTATGCTCGTCCCCATGGTTGACGTTATCTTCGCCGATGTTGCCCAGCCCGATCAGGCCCGTATTGTCGGTCTGAATGCCCACATGTTCCTGAAGAACGAGGGTGGTGTCATTGTCTCCGTCAAGGCCAACTGTATCGACAGTACAGCCAAGCCTGAGGTTGTTTTTGCCCGTGAGGTGCAGAAGATGAGAGAGGAGAAGATCAAGCCCAAGGAGCAGCTGACTCTGGAGCCTTTCGAACGTGACCACTGTATAGTGTCTGGTATCTACAAGCGTTCTGCATAAAAATTGGGGGGTCTCATCTCTTTGTCATGTTCTAATCATCCATTTTTGCTATTTTCCGGCGTCAAGTGTTCCGTGATATGTTGAAATGGTCCTTTTTTCCCTATTCATGTCCATGTCCAGGTGTCCGTTTTACAAATGTATTCTGTTCGAGTCGAAAAATTCTCCATCCGGGTTTGCGGTTTCTGTTTAGAAAGAACACGCTTGGATGTATTTTCTTGTTTTTTTTAGTATGAGACGAATGTGAAGGTTCATTACAGCTCTCTTATCTCTTTCACAATCTTGACTTTCATGCTGACTTGAAGGCCCATAAATCGACTTTGTTCACAGACTGGAGCAAATCACAGTAATCGCCCATCGGACTTGCGCCGGTTTGACTCTTCCATGGAACAGGAGCAGTTCGGTAGTCGGACAGGTCTCCGACCCCGTGGAAAGTCGGAACATCTGCGTGATACCTGTGTGGCTCAACAGAAACTGTGAGGTAATTTCCGCCATGGCCACAGCTAATGATGGCAACGCTGATGGCGTCGAGACGGAGAAATAATGGCGGACGTGGGGGAGCATTCACACGTTCTCTCCACCGACCCCGCAGAGACAGACTGCAAGGGGAGTATATAACCCGGCGGCAATGGGATGAATTCACGGGAAGAAAATGTAGATACTGAATGAGTCTGAGTGTCACCGCATTATCCAGTTTTTCTTTTTTCTTTTGATCAACAGTACTTGCGATTAACTGGATTCGAGACTAGAGATTCCAACGCCTCCCACCATGTCTATTATCATCACAGGAGCAGGCGGCTACGTGGGCCAGGAACTGGCTGCCGCATTGCTCTCGAGTGAACCCGATATGACAGTGATCCTCACAGACGTCGTCGCACCCACGGTTCCTGCCTCCGCTGCCCAACATGCGTCGCGAGTTAAGAGCGTACAAGCAGATCTCACCGTGCCAAGCGTGGTTGACGAGCTCTTCAACGAGTCCCATCGCTACGATACCGTCTACCTTCTACACGGGATCATGTCAAGCGGCGCGGAGGCTAATTTTGAGCTCGGAATGCGGGTCAATCTCGACGCAACTCGCTACATCCTCGACAGACTACGTGCTACCATGCCCGGGGTGAAGGTGGTATTTACCTCGACCCTGGCCGTCTACGGACTTGCGCCCCCGGGGTTCGTCATCGACGAGACCAATTTCCCCCCTGTGCCCTCGTCCTCTTACGGTTCGGCGAAGCTCGTCATCGAGACGCTTCTGAATGATTACTCGAGGCGTGGGTTCATTGACGGTCGTGCCGTCCGATTGCCCACGGTGACGGTGCGAGCCGGGCAGCCCACCCAGGCTGCGAGCAGCTTCGCGAGCGACATCATCCGGGAGCCGTTCAATGGGAAGAAGGCAATCCTGCCAGTGAGTAAGAGTACCGAACTGTGGATTTGCTCGCCATACACTGTGGTGAAGAATTTGTTGCATGCGAGGAATATCCCCAAGGAGGCGTTTGGGGTTTCTAGGTCGGTGAATTTACCAGGCCTGAAGGTCAGCGTCCAGGAAATGTTGGATGCATTAGAGGAGATTGGAGGCAAGGAGCGTCGAGATTTGGTGGAAGAGAAGTATGACGCCGATGTTGATCGGATTGTCCAGACGTGGACTCCTAACTTCAACACAGCGCGTGCTATCAAGTTGGGATTCTCAGAGGATGTTTCAATGGTGGAGAATATCAGGCAATATGCCAGTCGATTTCACTGATTTCTATCGGGCTGATATCTATTGAATAATAATACCACTAGACCAAAAAGGTGTCCGGACGATGTACTCGTCAGTCTAGGGTTTCATATCCATAGTCATAGTGGTATCTTATTCCAACAATATCACAGTATGAGGACAATCAAGGCAATTTCTCTTCAATTCTTGTGTTCGTCGTTATTCTTTGCATTTTGAAAACGATTAATGTCACCCTAGCAAGACATAAACATAAACTTGAATCGACTCGCGGGGGAACAGATCTATGATATGCTCATGCATGCATACGGTTCATTAGCTGTGACTGTCACTGGACCTTTCATAGTAGGTCCAGTAGTGGTGTCCTTGGTGGTAGCAGCCACAGGCGGTGCGGGGGCAGAACTCGGGCCGTGTCCGGACATCATGATCTCTGGCGGGGAGCCCTAAAATGGATATAATTGGTTGGTGTCGGCTGGATCAGGTCTCGTCAAGTCAACAGCCTCTTTCTTCTGTTTGCCGTCCCGACGGAGCTGATCGAAAGTTTCGACTCCCCAGTTCCTAGTAGCTCCCTTTGTTTTGAGGTAGTCGAACGCCCACCGTGCCAGGGCGATGGGGTCTAGGGCTGCGATATCGCCGAATAGGTTTGCCTGGTCAATTAATACTGAGCCTTTGGCGTGCTTACGCGATGACAATGTCTGGCAGCCGTAGGTGTTTCCGTCGATGCCGAGGTTTGTAAGGTGTAGCCTGACTGTTCCAAACCAGTTGAGGGTCAGGTAGACCAGCCAACAGAGTAAGGGGTCCGGGTGATCACCTTTGAAGGTTCCCACCGGGACCCCTTCACAGCTATGATTCTTAGCCTTGTCGCTCAGTTGATTGACCATCATTTGGGTGATATCCTGGATAGGCTGGGGTTGTATCAGTTCAGTCAACATCAGTTCAGCCAACAGGGGGCATCTGTCAATCATCAATGATCGAAGAGGGGCAACGGGTCTTCAGGAAATCCTATTTCCTTCCTAGATGGGGCTAGCAGCTTTGCGCTTCATTGACTTACCATAGTTGCTGGTTTCTTCAATCATGGTGATCACATGAGCATCGTCTGCTGGTCCCTCACTGGCAGGAACAGACCAAGGGGCAGAAGGAGGGCAGAAGTTGGTACTAATCAAAGGTCTTCCCATAGCATCTGTTGGGGGCCTGTTAAAGAACGAGGAACCACTGTGGTAGGTCAGAGACATGGTGTTCTCAGTGGGTCTGATGATCACAAGTAAGAGTTATAACTTACTTCAAACCACATAGGAGCCTCCTGCAAGTTAATCTTAGATAACTCAGTAACTCCCCACGGTAGAAGTAAGCAGACTTATAGCCAACCAGTTCATCAAGTGGGAACTTAGCGTGCCAAGCCTTAGCTGCCTTGATGTTATCTGCCACTGTGTCATAATATGTGGCAAGAAAATCCAATTCTGCGATGCGCTGTCTGTGGGTGACAGGCCATCTTGGGATAAGGTTCCAAGGGTTCCTGCTAGTTGGGTGATTAAATACAAAGTCTGTATGCTCAGATTGAGGAATATTTGCAGTGCAGGACATGTCTTCCTTATTCATTATCTCAACCGCGGGTGTTACCGGAGTTGAGCCACTGGCTGTAAATCTTTCTTTCTTTTGCCACTATGGCTAAATGACTCCGTCAACGCAAATTGTTGCTGGGTCACCTGAGAGCCTAACTTCAGTTCGCTGAAGTTGTGTAGGGTCTTTTCTCCTTGAGGCGACCTTGCTTGATTAAATTCCACAATTCTGTAAAATTGGTAGGAATTTGAAGTCCGGGGCGAGGCCTTCTTCTGTTTCGTCCGGTTTGTACTTATTGGTGTTGAGGGTTCAAGTGGCAGGCTGCCTTGGAGCAACCGTTGAGGATTTCCTCTCGAAGAGAAGTTTTGGATTGTCAGTTGAAGAATGTGGCATGTCATCACGATTGAGGCTTGCTGCCTTTGATGGTAGCAGGAGCCCCAGGGGGTGTGAGAAGAGAACTCTGGCCGTGTCAGGCCATCATGTCGTCTTCGGGGGGCCCCTAAAACGGACATAATTAGTTACTATATCAGAAGGAGTAAGAGTTATAACTTACTTCATACCACACAGGACCATTCTGTAAGTTAATCTTAGACTCCTCAATAATCTCCCCACACTGAAAGGAAGCAGACTCATAGCCAACCAGTTCATCATGCGGGAATTTTGAGTGCCAATTGATAGCAGCCTGTATGTTCTGTTCCTGGCCCTTCTTGTTGTAAAATGTTGCAAGAAACTTCAACTCAGCAATCCGTTGACCGTGGGTGATCGGCCACCTTGGGACCAGGTCCCAAGGGTTCCTGCTGTCTGGTGGATCAAATATAAAGTCTATATGCTCAGATTGAGTGCAGGACATGTCTTCCTCATTCGTTATCTTAACTGCGGGTGTTACTGGAGTTGAGGATTGAGGCTTGCTGCCTGTGGTGGTAGCGGGAGGCCCGACAGTATGGGGGGGCGGAGGGGTGACTGTGGTTTTGCAGTGTAGGAAACAGTCGGGAGTGAATGCAGGCTGGTTTGGAAAAGCGGGTCATGTGATTGGCTGGCGAGTTGGCGAACAATTTGACTCCCGAACTTCAACCTCGCATCATCAGGTCTGCCCCATCTCTAGCAACCGTCCCTTTCCATTCCTCCTTCTCCCTTCAGTCTCCCTCCAGTCTTTCACAATGGCCTCTCGGCGCCTAGCGTTCAACTTCAACCAGGCTCTGCGGAGTCGTGCTGCCTTGAAGGCCGTTCAGCCCGTGAAGCGTGGCTTTGCTTCTCCGGTCGCCTTGCCGGCCACCACCCAGTCGACGACTCTCTCCAACGGGTTCACGGTATGAAAGAGAACTCAATTGTATCTCAATGGCTTCGCAATGTTGCTAATCACCCGCAGATCGCGACTGAATACTCCCCATGGGCTCAGACATCTACTGTTGGCGTCTGGATCGACGCCGGCAGCAGGGCAGAGACTGACAAGACCAACGGAACCGCACACTTCCTTGAGCACCTTGCCTTCAAGGTATATATCCAGCCAACGTTTAGATAGTGGATTGGTTGCTGACGGATATGCAGGGTACCAACAAGAGAACCCAGCACCAGCTGGAACTCGAGATCGAGAACATGGGTGCTCACCTCAACGCTTACACTTCGGTACGACCCGGAACGATGATCGAATTGATCTTTCATCAGGAGAAGAATCGAACTAATTGGAGTTTTTAGAGGGAAAACACTGTCTACTACGCCAAGTCCTTCAACAACGATGTCCCCAAGACCGTCGACATCCTCGCCGATATCCTGCAGAACTCGAAGTTGGAGCCCGCTGCTATCGAGCGTGAGAGAGACGTGATTCTGCGTGAGCAGGAGGAGGTTGACAAGCAGCTCGAAGAGGTTGTCTTTGACCACCTGCACGCCACTGCTTTCCAGCACCAGCCCCTTGGTCGCACCATCCTCGGCCCCAAGGAGAACATCCAGACTATCTCCCGGGATAACTTGACCGATTACATCAAGACCAACTACACCGCTGACCGCATGGTTCTGGTCGGTGCTGGTGGCATCCCCCACGAGCAGCTCGTCAAGCTGGCTGAGCAGCACTTCGGTTCCCTCCCCAGCAAGCCCCCAACCTCCGCTGCTCTCGCTCTCACCGCTGAGCAGAAGCGTACCCCCGAGTTCATCGGATCCGAGGTCAGACTTCGTGACGACACTCTTCCTACTGCCCACATTGCCGTTGCTGTTGAGGGTGTCAGCTGGAAGGATGACGACTACTTCACTGCTCTCGTTGCCCAGGCCATCGTCGGCAACTGGGACCGTGCCATGGGCAACTCCCCCTACCTCGGCAGCCGCCTCAGCTCTTTTGTCAGCCACCACAACCTCGCCAACAGCTTCATGAGCTTCTCCACCAGCTACAGCGACACTGGGTAAGTTCATCATTCGCTAGAAGTATGGCAATGCCAGGTAAAAATTGAACTGATTGAAATATAGCCTGTGGGGTATCTACATGGTCTCTGAGAACCTGACCAAGCTCAACGACCTGGTCCACTTCGCCCTCCGTGAGTGGTCTCGCTTGTGCTACAACGTCACCGCCGCCGAGGTTGAGCGTGCCAAGGCTCAGCTCAAGGCCTCCATCCTCCTGTCCCTCGACGGCACCACTGCCGTTGCCGAGGACATTGGTCGCCAGATCATCACCACTGGCCGTCGTCTCAGCCCTGAGGACGTTGAGCGCATTATCGGCCGCATCACCGAGAAGGACGTCATGAACTTCGCCAACCGCAAACTGTGGGATCAGGACATCGCTATCAGCGCTGTCGGTTCCATTGAGGGCATCCTGGACTACCAGCGCATCCGCAATGACATGAGCCGTAACTCCCTGTAAACGAAATTACCGGTTTCTCTTGATGTCTCAGAATTCATGGCCATTGCCTCCTTGTCCAGTTATGTTTCCTTTGTTCCGTTGGTGATTTAATAGATAGAAGAGGTGGAAGTTGCTGAGGTAGCGTGTTCTGTACAGTACACAACTGTTGACTGATATACTCAAAATGTGTATTTTTCTTTTACTTTTAACTCTACCATTCCAGTGATTCATTATTAAGGGAGCTGCATTCACAAACCGAGCATTAGTTCTTGCTTGGAACTTGTGAATACAAGAGAGTGAACGCTAATACCAGTAACCCAAGCCCTCGTAAGATGAATAATGAATTAATGAATATCAGTTCATCTGTCTAACACACCTCACTGAAGATCATCATCAAATTCAGAACCAGAATTACCATTACTTTTATTATCCTATTTAATACCATTAACTGAACAGACAAACCCTAACTACAACAACATTACTGAGGATAAGTCATCTCCGAAGGAGCCTGATACCCGACCTGAAGGTTGTTCGACCGCGCCTCGACCTCCTTCTCGTTCTGCACCAACGTGCAGCACGGGCAGCAATAGGACTGCCAGCAATCTTCGAACGCGGAGCCCTGGATCCCAAACCGTTCACGGAGTTCACCTCGTTTGATCATCAGCAGGACCCAGTAGAGGCCGCAGTAGCCGGAGAGTGCGTAGAGGCAGCACTATGGGTACAGAGAGCGGTTAGTATCGTTGCTGTATGAGAATACACTTGACAATGCATACATCGCCGTTGACGTAGCTGTGCTCCTTCAGAGCGGGATCTTGGAGCCGTGATTGGGTTTTGCCGAACAGGCAGCATGGTGCACACCAGCCGACGAGACCTGAAGGGAGAAATGTCAGATTAGATCGTAGATGAGATATGGGGGAGACGGAGAAGGCGAGGTTATTGAGAGGTCGAGGATCCCTTACAGGTTTCAGTAGGAGAGAAACAGTCCCAGACCACTCATGAGAGTGCTGAGCAGCAGGGGCAGGCTGTTGGGGTTCTTTGATATCCATGCTTGGGTATCCTTCAAGTGCACGACGACGGTTAAGAGTCCCAAAGAATGACCTTAGACACCGAGTCTGAGGGGGAACCAACAATTTAAACTGCAGCGATGGGCAGAGCCTCAAGGAGAACAGAAGTCTCACAAGCTCGAAGCATCGAATTTGTTTTTCTCCACTCGACACGCGAACACTGTCGTGGAGATCCCTGAGGCAAACCCTCAGGCCCTACCTGAACTACGGCCTGCCAGATGTAGGGTCTCTGACCCATCTGAATGAACTTCATATTCTATTTGGCCCAATGGTGGACGAGTCAATCCACTAAACGTGGACATGGCCGAGGCGAGAAAAATTTGTTTGACATTAGAGTTAGCCTGTGATACTCCTTTTTTTGGAGCAGACTATGTAAACCGTCTCTTTGGCGATAAGTGCTGTGAGCCTTTGTGTCTGCTTGTGGAAGAGCTGAACCCAAAACACGAGAACTAGCGACTCCACCATTGTTAGCACAGTGCTCCACAGAGTTAACTATTTCTTTTGAGACAGTCTTTGAGAGCAGTCAACTGGGACCGGATTCGAAGGAAATGATCAGCAAAAAATTGTTCAAGCCTTCAAGGTCTCGCTCAGAAGGGATTGGATGAACGCCCAATCTCGTATCCCTTGCGGCTCAACCGCACAGAGACCCGTAGGATTGACACATCAAACAGTTTTTGCGGGAAGTAGATATGTTGCCAATTTCCCCATACGAGCCCGAGGAAGGTGATCCGATAATCTTGGCCAATTTAAGCTGCCAGGTCAAATTCATCTTCATGTTTGAGCGTTCAGGAGAACTGAAGGTCCAGAAGGTGGTGTCAGGCACGTGCTCAGGGGACATCTCGAGGACTTTTGGGTCCTATATTGGGCTCGGGACGGAGGAGAACAGCGAAATCATCGTCGCATGCATTCACCACAAATTCAAAAGGACTGCAGTAGCATCGAATACCCCTAGCGAGATTCTCATTACTGTCATCTCGAGGGCAGGTAGCGATGAAGTTCAGGGGCGACGGATGTCGGAAACAGCTCGGGATTCGTCGAAAATCAACAAAGTCACCTCGATGCTGGTACTTCACAGTCATCTCTGACTATGGCCTGTTCCTCTGTCTACTTAGCCCTTCTGATAAGTCTTCACGCTCTAGAATAGGTCTTCAAACTACCTAGAAAAAGAGTCGTCAAGGAAGTCCTTGAAGTTCATTGGTCGGTTGTTTGTATAGAGTATGACATAATCGATGCTCGGGCCGAGCATTGATCCGATGCGGGATGTTTTACTTGAGCTTCGCGATGAAGAAATAATTATTTCTGCGCAAGAGCAGGCCGAGCATATCATTGGGCCTCGGCTTCACATCCAAATCATATCACTTGATCGCCATGGGTAAGCGTGGTGGTAGAAAGGTGATCATCCCCAATGTCAATTGGTCTTTGTCTCGATCAATTCATGAAAATGCGTTGCAGCAGCTAACATACTCTGTTGTAGGGTGGTCGAGGCGGCGGCGGGCGCGGGCAGCGCCAGAACTACGCGGACATTCCCAAAACGAATGAGAAGCTAGAGCGCTTTTATACTGAACAAGGTTTTATTCCGGAGGAAGAGAGAGAAGCATTCTGGGAGGCTCTCCGGAGGGACCTCCCAAATAGCTTCCGATTCACTGGTTCCAAAGGGTACGTCATGGCAGACCGAAAATTCCCAGATGCATTGAACTCTGACATTTTGAAGGCATGCCCTTGCTGTCCAGGAAAAGCTCAAGAGTCACTATATTCCCGAGATCACCTCGATCAAGTATGAGGGTAACTTTGTCGAGCCGCCACGCCCAGTTCCTTGGTACCCTGACCAGCTCGCATGGTGGATGACGACCCCCAAGAATGTCGTCCGGCGATTCAAGCCTTTCGCCTCATTTCAGAAGTTCCTTGTCGCCGAGACGGACGTCGGAAATATCACTCGACAGGAGGTTGTGAGCATGATTCCCCCACTGCTCATTGACGTCAGACCCGGCATGACCGTTCTGGACATGTGCGCCGCACCAGGAAGTAAATCTGCGCAATTGATGGAATTGCTTCATGCGGGAGAGGAAGATGCAATGCGCCAGGTCGCCCAGCAAGTGAAGGAAGGGAAGGCAGGGCCGGAACCTATGGGGCCCGAGGGTCTTAACGACGATGGCAGGCCCACTGGTCTTCTCATCGCCAACGATTCCGACTTCAAACGTGCACACATGCTTGTCCATCAAATGAAGCGACTGAGTTCTCCGAATCTTATTGTCACGAATCACGACGCCACTATGTATCCCTCCATCAGATTGCCTCCTCTCCCAGAACCCGACGGCAAGCCCCAAAAGAACAGATACCTGAAATTCGACCGCATCCTCGCCGATGTCCCTTGCACCGGTGATGGTACTGCCAGGAAGAACATCAGTGTGTGGAGAGAATGGGGCCCAGCCAACGCCCTGGGTCTGCACGCTACGCAGGTTCGAATTCTTGTTCGTGCTCTGCAGATGCTGAAGGTTGGTGGACGGGTAGTCTACTCCACTTGCAGCATGAACCCTGTCGAGAACGAGGCCGTTGTTGCTAGTGCCATTACTCGCTGCGGAGGCTCGGCCAATGTCGAAATCCTCGATTGCAGCAATGAACTGCCCGGACTGAAGAGAGCTGCTGGCGTGCACACATGGAAGGTCATGGATCGCGAGGGCCGTATGTACAACAGCTGGAAAGAGGTCGAAGAGCAAAGGGAGCGTGAAGGCATCAACCGCCTGGGCCGGATCGGCGAAGGCATGTTCCCGCCTACCGGAGAGAATGCAGACTTGCCTCTTGAGAGATGCATCCGCGTCTATCCTCATCTCCAAGATACCGGCGGTTTCTTCATCACTGTCCTCGAGAAGAAATCTGAAATTCGCGCCAAGCCGGAAGACTCCTCTAAGGTCATCCCCAAGGCCTCCATTGCAGCTCTGACTGAGGAGCTCGATTTCAAGCAGAAGCACGGAAACGGGCAGCCTCTTGAAAAGCTCGATGCCTTGGACGATCTGGTTGCCCTCGATTCAGAGGCCCAGATGGAGATCGATAAGAACGCCTCTGTTGCTGAAGCGACGCACCAAGTGCCCTACTCAGCAACGAACCAGATCTCGCCTGCAAAGAGAGATGCAGAGGACATGGAAGATGAGCTTCCAGCCAAGAAGGCCAAATTGGAGGATGGTACTGAAGTTGTGCTGGGTGATCGTCCAATCCACCGTCCTCCGCCCGAGGCAGAGAATCCTGAGGTCTCTGATGCCACGCCTACTCCGCTCCCTACGGAGACCCCTCAGCCCGACTCAACCGAGACAAAGCCCCAGGCCCCGCAGAAGCGGAAGCCGGGCCAGCCGATTGAGGAACCATTCAAATATCTGGATCCCAACAACGAGGAACTCGACCCGATTTTCAAGTTCTACGAGATCTCCGAGCGGTTCCCACGCGACCGTTTCATGGTCCGCAACGCGCAGGCCATCCCCACGAGGACTATCTACTACACCAGTGCATTGGCGCGTGACATCCTGATGGCAAACGAGGGTCATGGCATGAAATTCGTGCATTGCGGTGTGAAGATGTTTGTGAAGCAAGATGCACAGCGCCCCAACGTCTGCCGCTGGCGCATCCAGACCGATGGGTTGCGCATCCTTGAACCCTGGGTGGGTCCTGGTAGGGCTGTCGTCCTGACCAAGAAGGAGACCTTGCGCAAACTCCTCGTAGAGATGTTCCCCAAAGTTGCCGATGATGGCTGGAAGGATCTTGGCGAGATTGGCGAACGTGTGCGGGATATCGAAATGGGCTGTAGCATTTTGTATGTTGAGCCCGAGGAGAACTTTAGGTATGTCAAATTCTTCTAGTTCCCCATCATTTACGATCAAGCTAGATGACTGATTGGTGCCCAACAGTGAACACATGGTGCTCCCACTTTGGCGGTCGCTGCATTCCGTCAACCTCATGCTTCCCAAGGAAGACCGTCGTGCAATGCTCCTACGTATCTTCAACGACGAGCCTCAGCTGCTGAACATTACTCAGCAAGGCACGCCTCAAACCTCAACTCCGGTAACACCCGCGGTCGAGCCGACGAATGAGGAAGACGTGTCTGGCATGGCTCCTACGGAAGCGGAAGAGAATGCGCTGAAGCATGAGAATCTTGTGCTAGGCGAAGACCAACAGGAGCAGGTTGATGCTCGGGAGACGTGGACCAAGGCCGGTGACGAAGAGGACCGGTTCAACACAACTGTATAAATATCGTCGAGACGATTTGGTGCTTCATATTTAGTCTTTAAGTCGGTGTTCGGAAAAAAACACTTAAGTCTCAGCTTTATATTCTCTTAGTCTTGTGGTACTCCTATCCGGAGCGAGAACATCACTCAACACTGGGAGTCTCACGAAGTCTCACTAACGACGAATGAGCCGACATGTACTATGATTCAGGATTCATCAGCAGAATGTTGTACTTGCCGGGGGTTGATACGAGCGAGCAGTCTGTGTAGTAGGACCTTCGAAATTTAGACTACTCTACATATGTCTCGGAGGCCAGAACAGGGTGTGGTCCACTCAACTACCAACACTTGACATCTCAAAGCAAGGTTTTGTGCCTGTCGTTGTTACATTTACCATGAGTAGGGTCCAATGTTCACAACGATTGATACCTATGGTATGTCTTAAGGCTTTGAAGGATCTCCATACGCCGGCCAAATCATGCAAGAACTTGATTTTTGAACGTACAGCGATGACCGGCACCCGAGCATTATGGGGCTAGAAACTTGTCCGAGTCCTGCATGCGTACTCGGCACTAGTCTACTCAAAAAGCGAGGTTGAGATTCAATTTAACCGACCGGATAAATGCGTATGCTTCTTTCTAGGTCGCACTGATTGAGTATTTTGCCGAAGACATATCCGGGTCTGAGGGCAAGGTAGCGATGGGGGATGGCTCATGGCTGGCCGCTTCACCCTCGAATCATGAGCATGGGATAGATATGCTGCGTATCTTGTCAATTCACTCTGCCTTTGCATTACAATCACCACCGGGATTCGGTGTACATGATTGCCGCTCTCTTGTTGTCTTAAAGCCTTGTCAGAGGAACAATACACGTCAATTCAATGCGACTGAGCTTTTGGGGATTGATTAGAGACACTTGCACAGACCCGGTGATGGGTACCAAGCTCTCAACCTAACAAACACATCAGCCACTTGCATTAAATGCAATCTGACAGTCGGAATACGGAGGGGAACTAGATACTCGTCTAGAAGAGGAATATTAGCTGATTCGGGACTCCACATTTTACGCTCCACAGTGACCCCCGCAGTCCCGCTTTCTCTTCAGCCATCTGAAAGCTTGGATTACACTGATCCAAGGGAGTTGAATGATCGACATTCAAGAGGACCCTTGGTGAAGGTCACTGAAAGAAAAAAACATCAGCAGCAATGGACGACACCTAGTCATTGAGCGCTGAATCGTTAATCGTTCTGACTGAGCATGTCCACGGAATTGAATCGTCCCTTGCATTGAGTCCCAATCGCAAGCGAGATGACAGGGAATCGACAGGGTAATTATGTCAATCAATGCAACCATGCTACTGCATCATCATTATGATGCGAGTCAAATGCAGCATCGCATGATTCTCCGGCGTGTCTCCGATATGAGGAAAAATTGCAGGCCGTTGGCCCCGCGTTATTGTATACTCCGTCGTCCTACCTATTAAGTGTTGACTCTATTGTGGAGGATCGTCGGCCTGGCTTCCTCTCTGAACCAAGTGCAAGAAACATCACCTCCGCTTTCTCTCCTCCTCAATGATGGCAACTCATCTAGTAGTCTACCCCTCTGAATCCCTGCATCTCTACCTTTCCCAATTCGATTCACCTCCGTCTCGGTCTTTGTTAGCACGAATGATGCATGCACACACCGAGGGCCCCCGTGGCAGATCTGTTCTGGTCCCTTTCCCAAGGGCCCACATCTCCTCTTTGCCTGTTTGTTGTGCTTGGATGAGCAATGACGATGGACACGGTGCGATGGGGAGAATTGTGGATGGCTAGGATCGACATTCCTTTCATTTTTCTTCCCGGGGGATTATGCGGGGTGTTAATGCCGTCGTATATTAAACCAAAGGTCCTGCCCCCCCTGCATCAAAGATCCCGACTCTCAGAAGGCATTGCATACCCTCCCTTCTGAGCTTCTTTCTTCTGCGTTCTTGTCAAAGAAACACCATGAAGCTTCTCTCTGTCTGTGCAGTTGCCTTGCTGGCAACCCAGGCAGCGGGTGCTTCCATCAAGCACAAGCTCAATGGCTTTACTATTATGGATCATTCAGATCCTGCGAAGCGGGAATTGTTACAGAAATACGTATGTGAGACCAGAAACTCAATACTTGATCAACGCGTACTGAGACATAGCTCTAGGTCACCTGGGATGACAAGTCACTGTTTGTCAATGGCGAGAGAATCATGATCTTCAGCGGCGAAGTTCACCCTTTCAGGTGCGTACCAGATCTGGTGATGTACTCTAGATTTCTACGGAACGGAAGTTCTTACAATGTGTAGACTGCCAGTTCCCTCACTCTGGCTCGATGTCTTTCAGAAAATCAAGGCCCTGGGTTTCAATTGCGTTTCATTCTACGTCGACTGGGCCCTCCTTGAAGGAAAACCCGGCGAGTACAGGGCTGAAGGCAACTTTGCCCTCGAGCCTTTCTTTGACGCGGCTAAGAAGGCAGGGATTTATCTTCTTGCTCGTCCAGGACCATACATCAATGCCGAGGCTTCGGGCGGTGGTTTTCCTGGATGGTTGCAGAGAGTGAACGGAACTCTGCGAACGTCCGACGCAGCATACTTAAAGGCTACTGATAAGTATGTGACTTATGACTGTTTATAGTCTCAAAAGCTGCTAACTTTCTGATTAGCTACATTGCCAATGTTGCTGCTACTATTGCCAAAGCTCAAATCACGAATGGGGGCCCGGTTATCCTTTATCAACCCGAGAATGAGTATAGCGGTGCGTGCTGCGGTGCTACTTTCCCCGACGCGGACTACATGCAGTATGTCATCAACCAGGCTCGTAACGCCGGTATTGTCGTACCATTGATCAACAATGATGCCTGGGCTGGAGGACACAATGCCCCTGGGACGGGCAAGGGAGAAGTTGACATCTATGGTCACGATAGCTATCCGTGAGTCTATGTTCCACCTTCTCGAAAGACAGTTCCTAACTTGCTTGAATCAGGCTAGGATTTGACTGTGTATGAATGGATTTCCTTGAAGCTTTGAGCCATTCTAATGGAACTAGGGAAACCCAAGCGTTTGGCCCGAGGGTAACCTGCCAACCACATTCCGGACGGATCACCTGAGAGAGAGCCCGTCGACCCCGTACTCTCTTGTTGAGGTGTGTGATCTCATGCCTTTCAATCCGCACATTACTAAAAGTCGTGAAGTTCCAAGGGGGTTCCTTCGATCCATGGGGTGGACCCGGCTTTGCAGCATGCGCCGCCCTCGTCAATCATGAGTTCGAGAGAGTGTTCTACAAGAATGACCTGAGCTTTGGAGCTGCCCTCCTCAACTTGTACATGGTATGGAAACATCCTGCCTGAACTTGACCAAGTGCTGACCCGCTTAGACCTTTGGCGGCACGAACTGGGGTAACCTTGGCCATCCCGGTGGATACACGTCCTACGATTACGGATCACCGCTGACTGAATCTCGCAACGTCACTCGAGAGAAGTACAGCGAGCTCAAGTTGATTGGTAATTTTGTCAAAGCCTCGCCATCTTACCTTCTGGCTACACCTGGCAATTTGACTACCTCCGGATATGCCGACACCGCTGATTTGACCGTGACTCCTTTGCTTGCCAATGGCACTGGATCGTACTTTGTTGTCAGACATACGGATTACACCAGCCAGGCATCCACCTCGTACAAGCTCAGCCTCCCGACCAGTGCTGGAAGACTCACAGTTCCCCAGCTCGGCGGTACCCTGACGCTCAATGGACGTGATTCCAAGATTCATGTTGTGGACTACAAAGTCGCGGGAACAAATATCCTCTACTCGACTGCCGAAGTCTTCACCTGGAAGAAGTTTGCGGACAGCAAAGTTCTCGTCTTGTATGGTGGACCTGGTGAGCACCACGAACTGGCCGTTTCGTCCAAGTCCGATGTCCAGGTCGTCGAAGGATCAAATTCAGGAATCACCTCGAAGAAGGTTGGCAATGCTGTTGTGGTAGCCTGGGATGTGTCTTCTTCCCGGCGTATTGTTCAGATTGGCGATCTCAAGATCTTCCTGCTAGGTAGGTGTTCTGCTTGTGAATCTCCCACCTCAAAGCTGATGTCCGAGCAGATAGGAACTCTGCTTATAGTTACTGGGTGCCGCAGCTTGACAAGGACGACTCGTCAACGGACTTCAGCTCTGAAAAGACTACTGCTTCGTCCATTATTGTCAAAGCCGGTTACCTTGTGCGAACCGCTTATACCAAAGGCTCCGGCCTCTATCTTACCGCCGATTTCAACGCAACAACTCCTGTTGAAGTGATCGGAGCCCCATCAGGTGCCAGGAACTTGTACATCAACGGCGAGAAGACCCACTTCAAGACCGATAAGAATGGTATCTGGTCTACCGAGATCAAATACAATGCTCCTAAGATCCAGATTCTCCGCTTGAAAGATCTGAATTGGAAGTATCTCGATACTCTGCCGGAAGTCCAGTCAACTTATGACGATTCTGCGTGGCGGGCTGCCGACCTGGAGACCACTTTTAACACCCTGCGACCCTTGACCACGCCGAAGTCTCTGTATTCGTCGGACTATGGCTTCCATACCGGTTACCTGATCTACCGCGGCCACTTTGTTGCCGATGGCAGTGAGACGACCTTTGACGTGCGCACACAAGGTGGCTCGGCCTTTGGCAGTTCCGTATGGTTGAACGGAACATTCCTAGGGTCATGGACTGGTCTCAATGCGAATGCCGATTACAACTCGACCTACAAACTGCCACAGGTCGAGAAAGGCAAGAACTATGTCCTCACTGTTGTCGTTGACAACATGGGTCTTGACGAGAACTGGACTGTCGGCACTGACGAGATGAAGAACCCCCGGGGTATCCTCTCCTACAAGCTCTCCGGCCGTGACGCCACTGCAATCACCTGGAAATTGACAGGAAACCTTGGCGGCGAGGATTACCAGGACAAGATCCGAGGCCCTCTGAACGAAGGTGGATTGTATGCCGAACGACAGGGCTTCCACCAGCCTCAGCCGCCAAGCAAGAACTGGAAGTCTGCTAGTCCTCTCGACGGGTTGTCCAAGCCTGGCATTGGATTCTACAGCGCTCAGTTTAATCTTGATATCCCAAGCGGGTGGGACGTGCCGCTCTACTTCAACTTTGGAAACGGCACGAGCTCCGCGTACCGGGTGCAGCTGTATGTGAACGGGTACCAGTACGGCAAGTTTGTTAGCAACATCGGACCTGAGACAAGCTTCCCCGTCCCGCAGGGTATTCTGAACTACCAGGGAACCAACTGGATCGCAGTGACTCTGTGGGCACTCGAGTCGGATGGTGCCAAGTTGGATGACTTTGAGTTGGTGAACACCACGCCAGTCTTGACTGCGCTATCGAAGATACAGTCATCAAAGCAGCCAAATTACAGTCAACGGAAGGGAGCTTATTGAACTCGGAGATAGATATAGTCATCGGTGCCCCGGTGCATCAGGCACGATAGTCGGGGTACAACAATCAAAAATTGACTGTACATTCACCTGCTTTATGCGAGTAATCTCAATCTACCTGATATCAGATAGTCCATACTCGGAAGTGGAAGTCTGTCAATAGCTAAAACACAGGAAAATGTAAATTGTAAGAAAATGACCTACCTACGTCAATGTAACCTCTACCTTGGTCGCCCCAACATAGCACTCGTCGCTGCGCCCCTGCAATTTTATAGTGTAGCATTGTGAGCAACGCCCGGTGCCTCCGGATCGACAACATCCTCGTCCAGCTCCTCATCCGTCGTTATACCTCTGAGCCGCGGGACGAGATCAATTTCACTTTCAACCTCTGCCATCTTTTCTTGGTCTAAGCCCCTAAGCACCAATTCCACAGCGACATTCCATTTCATGTACAAATTGTACGTTTTGAACGTTGGAATACAAGAACGTGGGATCTGGAAAGTCACTTGACATGGCGCATTTTGATATGACCTGCCATCTTCTGCAGGGTTGAAAAGATGTTTTGTTGTCCAGGTCTTGCTGGCTGAGGGACCCCCTGGCAACTCGAGCTCGAACGTCCCACCCAACGGAGTCCGCTTCCCACGAATACCCGCAGTATCACGGATACGGGCGGTGACTCGATGGAGAGAAATCGGGGGAAGATCAAATCTGTACTCCGCTGGTGACGGTTGCAGCTGGATGGATATTTTGATATCGTCTCCTACAACAGCGTATCTTGGGACCTTGATTGTCGGTGCGAGCCAGAGCAGTGGGTACAGCTTCAATGCACTTCTCACGTACCAAGAGAACGTCTTTTTCTTGGGTTCTTTTTTTCTGTCCATGCAGAGCTGGCCCATTCCTTTTCGCATTACTCCTTTGAATGGCTCGAGCTCTTCGACAGTCACAGGGGGGCCAGAGATTCGCACTGTCTCCGGATATGACTCTGTCTTGGAGGTTTGATCGCCCTCGCCCTGTGAGACGGTCGCAGTCACTGTATATTGAATATGTCCCCATGCAGACATTGGATCTCCACGCCAAGGTTCTCGATGGGGCACGCTCATAGATGGCGGCAAACGATGGCCCCCTGAGCTTTCAAAAGCGGGATCTTCTTTTGGCCAAGAGTGCCTCCAGTACGAGCGTCCATCGTTGATCTTCTTAGCCAGATCCGAAGGGTTTTCCTCGACAGACAGGGGTACGGTGAGTGAGAATTTGGCGATACTGGATCCCACATGGTCGGATGGCTCGAGACGGGTCGTTTGATATGTCAACAGTGACCGATCCTTATTGACGACGCCATTTCCAGGCTGGATGTATGTTTTGCTGCGTCCTTGTAGAGAGATCTCTAGGGAGCTTTCACCTGTCGATGGGTCCCATCCATGGACACTCCCAGTGATAGTATCGCCAGGCGCAAAAAGGCGGTTTGGATGATCGAGGGTTACGTCTAAATCGGCGATCTTGACTGATGCCGCAGACTCAATTGGTGAGTCCATTTGGTGCGGTTTTGAAGAGGTCAAGGTATTAGTGAGGCGTTGATTGCAAGCTGAAAGGCTAAGCCGGGGGACAAGCTTAATATTAGAAGAAAACTGCACCACATGCATCAAAGAGAGCCCTGCAACGTAAGTCAAGCGGCTGAGCTTGGCCCCCATTTTCCGTAACAAATATCATAGCAACCCGGGTGAGGTTTTTGCGGGGTCGTGCGCAGTCACTCTACACAAAGACATACGCAGGAGATGGCGATGGGAGAACTACCCGTCTGGATATCAGGCTCCTACAGGGGAGAAATATTCTCAGTAGGCTCAGGAGGGTGGTGTATCTATTATTCTACTCTTTTTTTCTCCCAAGGAGCCGATTGGGGTACGTATACAATATTGACTACATATGCTCTACCTACATATAGACTGGTATTGTTATTTTGTTAGAGCATATGTTTGTTTGCTGGTATTTGGTGTCAATTTCACAGGTCCTCATATTATTCTTCGTGTAAAAAGGTACGGATACTCCCGAGGTGCCCAGTCCCAGCCACCGCATAATCGAGGCTCCGTTCACTGCACATCATGCATCTCACCAGCGTCGCAGCATTTTCTCCCCTTCCCTTTTGCCAATGTCATTACTCCGTACTATTCAGCATCTCGATCGCGCACCCGCGGTTGATCCCAGCCGCATGTCGCTCGCACCATCACCATACAGACCAACCCACCCAAACAACCATCTACCGCGAAGCACACCACAACCACAACCACAACAATAACCCTCCATCCCAACACCGGACCACACAACCAAATCCATCTTTTTCAAGGGCAAAAAGAAAGGGACGAGGACGAGGACGAGGACAAAAATGACCCCCCTCCGCCGCTACACAACAGTCTCCATCCCCGCCTCCTACGGCCGCCTCGACTCCGGCCCCTCCCCGGGCACAGTAGTAGGGATCGTCCTCGGCAGCGTCGCAGGCTTCATCTTCCTGCTGTACCTCGCCTACCTCGGCCTCGGGCTCAACAACAAACCCCCCGACGACGTGGAAGTCACGACCGTGTCGACGTCGACGGAGTCCGCGCTGGCGAGGCGGGCGCGTCGCGCGCGCCGGGGCGGCGGCGGGAGAGTCGAGGTCGTGGAGGAGCGGCGCGGACGGCATCCTGACGATCATGGGGATAATATTGTGGTGGAGGAGTCGGTGACGTCTGCGTCGAGGACGGATGAGGGGGATGTGGTAGAGGTTTTTGAGGAGCATTCTTCTGTGGATGGGCCGGTGGCGCCGGCGCGGTCGAGGTCGAGGAGGAGTCGGGTGTCGGGGTCTTATCGGACGGTTGATCCGTATGAGTATGGGGGTGGGAGTTCGTATGATGGGCGGTGATGGGATATATTGCAGGTGGAGGGGCTGCTGTTGCGGATTGCGTTTCTTGTGATGCTGTTTTGGATACCCTTGACTTGATGCGAACATGTTACGATGATGACCTTATGCTGTGCATCCGGATAATGAGTTACGAAAGCCATGCCATGCTTATGATTTTATCTGACACCAGGTTCGGTCCGGTTCGTGTGATATAGGTTTCAATCCTGTAAAAATAGGTAAAGAAAAAGTAATATTAACAAGAAGGATAATACAAGACTCCTCGCCCGTTGAGGCACAACCAACAATGCAGGACGACCGAGGGAATGAACGACTGAGAATCCACACAAAGGAGATATGACGAGTCCCGACCTGATAATGCTCCGTATCCGTTCCAGCGCCGTAGCAGAATAGTCAGAAAAATGATGGACAGAAAGGTATTCGAAGCAGAAACAGAATATTCAGGACACTTTGCCTTGGATTTATAACGGCAAAGGTCCCACGATGTCGCCCCATAGCCCCTTTTCGTTTCATTGTTGCTTAGAACAGAATATCCAAGCAGCAACAGCATGCGAGAGCGGCCATGATACCGGCACAAATGCCACCACCTGACGACCCTCCCCGGTCATCGGCATAGTAACCTTGCTGCTGTTGCGGGTATCCTTGCGGAGGGTAGTAGCCGCCTTGATTATAGTAGTCTTGGTTTGCGCCACCAGGCGGAGGTGAGCCAGGGTGGCCGTATGGGCCAGCGTCGTGAACGGGCGCAGGATATGAAGGAGGAGGGCCGTCCTAGAAATTAAGATTAGACGTGAACCCACACTAAATCGCGAAGAGAACGGAAAGAGTGAGGACAGCTTGAGAAGGGATGAGAGATATGGGGAACTAACCGGCTTGTTGTACGACATCTTGATGCTTGGATAAAAGTGAAAAGGTTCTCAATATATTCAGAATATCAAAATGTACAGCTGGTAGACACTGAAGCTGTGATCACTAGTTCGAATAGACTTCGCAGGTGTCGAGTCAAAAGACAGTAGCGCTTAAGCGGTTCGACGCAGGCTGAGGCGGAGATTGCACGGCTGTCAGCTGGTTGCAAGAGGGCGGATAAGGAGAGATATTTCGCTGCGTTGATGTTGACCGTTGCGCTGACGATGTGGAATATGGTAGAAGAAGAAAAGTTGAAAACGAGGGGCAAAGTAGAGGATTTGTTAAGAATGTCAGTCTGTCAGAAGTTAGGAAGTACTCCAAGAAAGAGGAGCCCCAAGCACTTGGCAAATGGCACGGATCCTCCGGATTCGGCAGGCTTGTGGCTGTACCTATGAGTATTGGGACAGATTGGAAACTACTGGCAGAAAGGAGCCATCCTTATTTTATAGACTGTTCTATAATCCATGACCATCACAGGACTGTGTCAATCTCTGGTTCGACGGAGGAGCCATTCCAAGGTAGGTAGGCATCAAAGTCAACTCCGGCACCGCCACCTCTAACTCCGTAATGCATTCGGCCACCCCGCTTCATGGACTGGTCTCGTCGTGCTGGACGTTGGCTGCCAGTGTCGGCGAGTCTTTTGCCTCTATAATGATTGGTAATTTTGACTACATAGGAAACATGGTCTACTTGACTCATTATCAGGAACGCGGTTAGATGCCATATGCTTTATGCCTTAGGCATCAATGGCTTACTAACTGCTTACTAGGTACACGGCCACGTGCTGGCCTTGTCCCCTTGACAGCTTCACTTCAATCTCCATGTTTCTTTAGCCTCATCATGAGCATCATGCTCGTAGTTCTATATCTGGTACGGGGACATTCCCTTGCGAGCCCTCTTAGCATCATAACTTGAATTTTCACTCATCCGGTCACAGAAATATTCTTCCATATTTTTGACAAGTATTGAAGAACTTACTAAATGCTAAAATGTACTCATGAGACTCGAGATTCTCTTCCAGGTTACCCTCAGGGAGTCTTGGGTCCTGCTTGACCAGGATACAAATATTGAGCGTCCATCCCCTCGGGCCTCGGTACTGCCATCCAGTCCCTAGACTACCGCTGCATCTATTCATCACCTCCCTTAGTATCTAGGATGGTTCTGAGAATCCTCAGAAAACCAACAGACTGACAATATTAGCAGAGTACCTGGTGCATAGGCATTGCCCTAAATAGCAAGACCTTCGAGAAAAGGAATGTGAAATGTAGCTGTATCAGCCAAAGGGTTGCCACGGACTGATCCTTGTATTTGACTTGAATTGAAAAGACCTAATTGTTGTCAAGCAGCCTATGAAAATGATCACTAACCATATCGACCCTATATGATTTGAATATCAACGGGTTCTGACGCCGGTACCACGATCAGAGGTCGCCCATTGTTGTCACTGGGCTCTAGAATCTTGGGCCCTATCCAACATGGCACTGTTACTTTGGTAGACAGGTGGTCTTCCTGGGTTCCCCAGTTCCACCAGTCAATCTTTGTCTCTCTCAACTGGGCTCTTAATGAGCCGCCAATCTGCACCTCGTCAGGCAACGGCTGAGTCATGAACGAGGACCACGTCTCTCCAGGATGCAGAGTTGCAAAATCCTCATGGTCGCCGGGTGAGATCTGCATATCAGGATTGTCCCATATTCCCCCTTCACAGCTGTCAGTTGTGCAAGCTGCCCAACGACCACGCCACTGATAAATGGTAGGATAGATCAGAAGCCAAACATGAAAAGTGATCGGTCTGGTCTAGCCAGAAGGGCCAGGATGGTAGGTAATATGAGTTCTCGTTCCCACCCCCCCCTTCTGTAAGGGGACGGTTGATGCGCATTCAATTTTTGCGGTTAGAATCATGGCAGCTTCTTCTCTGGATTCCACGTCAGCAGATAGTCAGATGGGCAGCACAGTAGTCCTTATGCACGAGATAATATCTCCACCAGCCACACATTGGGAGCATGCAATGGCTGCTCCCCTTCTTCTATAGTAAAGGTCAGCACAGGACCGCCTGGCAAGACAAGGCTGGTATCTTAGGTTAAACGGTTCTTGGCTACTCCCCACTCCCATGCGGCGTATCTTTCACCGGGCCAGAATAATGCGTATCTCTCGCTATGCCTTGTAAACAAGGATCTCATTCAACCACTGTAAACTCGACCCAGTTACTAGCCGGCACCACAAGCCCAGGCCGGCCCCCATTATCTTTTGGATCGCGGACCTTGCCATTAATCCACACCACAGTGTTTTCATGATCTCGAAAGTGTCCCCAATCCCACCAGTCAAGCTGAGCTCCCTTAAACCTGTACCGGAATTCATCACCGGGCGCTACATTCTTCGGGAAATCAGTCACCTCCCGCGTGAATGACCACGACTCACCAGGCACCAGGGCCCCAAATTTATTCTGGTCGTTGCGGCCAACATTTACCGGGACGCGCTCAGAAAACATGTATTCGTGGTACGTAAATGAGCCTGCAATTTCATGTGGGCTCCAGTCGTCCTTTCGTCTAAAGTAGAGCCTGAAACCCTCCTGGCGGCGATCCTTATCTTTGAATATGAACGTATGAAATGTGACCGGCTTTCCGTCTAAGCCATCCGGAGCTGCATCATACGAGAGTGTCATTGTGACAGGATAGCGTAGTCTACCCGCTGGATTGCGATCTCTCATCGATAGCGTAGCGGGTCCAGCGACGGTGAGGCTGAAGACCGGGGCGCCACTCATCCTGGCAGGTGCCAAAATAGGTCCGGGTGAAGGCGGCAATGGGCCTACATCGTCTATATCACTTTCATCATAGGCAATGCTCAGTAACTGCTGTGGCCCGCCCGGTAGGACCACTGCAGAGGAATTAGGGCCGAGTGTGCGGCCACTGTGCTCCGCTAATGTGCCCCAGTCCCACAAAAAGATTTGCCCGCCTACCCAGAGGATTTTGTAATATTGCCCTGGTAGGAAGGAATCAAAGTAGACAAACGGCAAGGCCAGCTCCCAGGAAACGCTGGAGCCTGGGTTCAGTTGTTTGAAGCACGGGTCTGACGTGGATACTTCTCTTGCGTGGAGGGATTTTGCGCGCAGCTGGTTAGAGTCGACTTGGACGGGTTCCAGGTCCTTTGTGAATTTAAAATTAGAATGAAGTAGCATTATACCCGGCTGGCCGAATCCATCCTCAATAGGGTCCCAGTGAATAATGCATGGTTGCGTCTGGGGATCATCTGCATCCCGCGTGATTGTGAAGATGATGGGGTATGACGTCTCAACAGTGATATCGAGATCCTTTTTTGCTTCGAAAGTAAGAGTAAGACGGGGAGTCCCTAATCTGTTTGGCTCAGCTTTTTGTTGTGTAGCTTGTCAGGGAGCATCATACGGTCTGTCTGCGGCAGAATATCTCATGAAAGATGAGAGATTACCCATTGGTGCTGGAGTTACATGGAGTGGTGTGGGTGGGAAGTTGTTGGCCCCTTTGAACAGCAAGACACATAAGCATCAAGTCCACTAAGACAATTCCTGTCACATGACAGGTAGTCCCCTTACAATAAGCTTCAATTGCGAGTTCGAGTACGAGATTGGATTCTAAAATCCTGGAAAGCACTGCGGTGGATCTTGCAGCCTTGATAGGGACACCCCCACCTTTACTAACGTACTCTCAGCTATGCATACTCCGCAGAAACCTACGAACTAAAAAGCGACAAGTACAAGCGTTCTTCAGTTAGCTTCCTGCTTCTATGCATCATCTTATCTTTCTATGCCAATCATTTCTGTACCCCGTTTCAACGCCTCAGACGCTCTCACTCCGCAACCTCAACAATCAACTTCGTACAACTCACCCCCCGGAGCAGTTTGTCCAACCCAGCATTGATAGCCCCCAAACCCTTTCCCACGACGCTCGGCTCCGGACTCGGCCTGATGGTCCCCTTGGCCAGGTTCTCCCTCAGCCACGTCCCAATCCAGTATCGGAACTGCTCCAGCCTCTCCCCTTCCACCGTTGACGGCAGCACAAATATCGTCTCCACCCCGTCCACGACCTCCGCATCCGGAGGAACCACGGGTGCCGACCCGATCTTCGCCGTCTTCGCCTTCTTCCCTTCTTGATCTCCTCCGAGGAATGTCTTAAGCACAGCCTGACATGGCGCCAGCTGCCCGGTAGCAAGAAAACAATGCCGGATCACTAACCCGTCCTCCTTGGCCGCCGAAACGATCGCATCCACAACTTGTGGGTCTTTGTAGTCGAACACGCGGTCCGCGCCCAGTGAACCCACATAACTCTTATTCGCCGATCCGGCCGTGGCGTACACGGCTGCGAAAGAAGAGGTGGGATCTTCCCGCAGCAGCCGGGCTGTTTGTACGCCCATGGTGCCGACGCTAGAGGAGGCACCCCAGATTAGGAGAGCTTCTCTTTTTTCCATGTTATTCTTTTGCTCCCCTCCGCTGGTATCAGCACCGGTAGAGCCAGCAGAGACTGGAGCAGAAGCAGTGGCTTCTCCCATCCGGGGGATCCCCATGACATCCCACGCGTTAAGGGGTACCTCGACGGCGACGGGCAAGGTTGCCGCGTGGTTCCAAGACATGGCCCCGTCCGGGAGGGGCACAGCATGCTGCCAGGGGACGAGGCACCGCTCCTGAAATGCGCCGTAGTCTGGATCGCAGGACTTCCAGAAAGAGGCGGCGTAGGCGGCGACGCGGGTGATACCCGGTCGGAAGGAGGGGGCCGGATCATTGTCGGTAGCACCGGTGGGGACGTTGTCGCCGACCTCGAGGACTAACCCCGACATGTCGAAGCCAATGACCGTGGGGTACGTGGGTATGAAGAGGCCTTGGTCACGCATATAGGCGTCTGCCGGGTTGAGGGCTACGGATTTGACAGCGATGAGGAGCTCATCTGGTCCTGGCTTTGGGGTGGGCCGGGTTTGGAGCTCAAAGGGTTGGCCTTTGGCCGGGGAGACGGCGGCGAGGTGGGTGGCCATTTGGACTTTTTGTGGAAGTAGAGGTATTCAAGTCAAGGTTTCATGATTCTGATGCCATAGACATTAGCCTCTCTTTCTAGGATATTGAGGAGTCACCTTCTTCTTATACAATTAAGCTATCATTTCAAACCACGTACTCTTTGATGTAGTGACGGTCCGTCCGATGCGGCCCTGTTGATTATAGATGGTTAGGGCAGAAGTCGCAGCCAATCAGAGACCTCTGCATCCGAGGAATAGCTAGTGTCCTTGGGGGTGACCATGACCGCCTCCACCTGCTACGGATCTCTTCGTCATGAATCCATTTCGAGCTCGGGAAAATCCCTCACAGGCAAGCTGCGCAAAGCATTGGACAATTAACCAAGTATGGCCTCGACTTGTCCAAGAGATGTTCGGGAGCGTAGGACTCTGCGGAGGTCGAGATTTGGCTGCCGAAATTGCAAGCTCAGAAAACTCAAGGTGGGTGGCTCTCGGCTTTCCTAGACTGGTGCTTGGCTGAACGAATTTCCTTGGCCTCCTAGTGCGACGAAGGCAAACCACATTGCAAGAGATGTAGTTCGTTCGGGGTATTATGCAACTTCATGTCTAATATTCCCGACCTACAACCCATCGCCGCTGACACAGGGAGGCCATGGGTGGTTCGAGGAAAAGCAGAGCTTCAACCCCCTGTCGCCAGTGCTGTCTGGACGTCTGACGAATCCACGTTCTATCAATTGAACGCAAAGTGTCAAGATTTCATCACCCGGTATCTTGGACGAAGTCTCATTACCCCAGATGACCCGAATATGATACACGTTAATCGCAAGCTCCTGAGACTAGCCTTCGCCGTAAGTATTATTACATTGATTCTGTCACCATCAGACAGAATCGAAGCGGGATTATACGTTATGGGCCTGAGCTCGGCTAACATATGGCTTACAGTACCCTTTTTTAATGCACGCCTCTCTAGCTGTGGCACGTACATATGACCGCCATCTGAATAGCTCATTAGGCTGTCGTCGCAGTCTAGAAGAGTGCTATCACTGGTCTCAAAGCACAGCTCTTCTCAACAGGCGGTTAAGGGAACCGATTGAAGCGAAAGATAAGGATCCAATCTGGGGCACTGCGGCCGCTCTGGCTCTCTTGACCTTCTCGTCCCCTGATGCATGCACGCCGGAAGAATCGTGGCCTTTAAAGTCCTCTGACCACTCCGATTTGGACTGGTTACGTATGAGCAAGGGTAAAATGTCACTGTGGCACATAGTGAACCCGCTACGACCGGACAGTCTTTTCCGCGTCATGGCGGCGACCTTTGCTCATATGCATTCACCCTTGCCAGAGAGGGGCATAGATGGTATACCAAGGGCCTTGGCTGCCATGTGTCTCCTCAAAGACTCATCTACGGCGGAAAACAATCCGTATTTCTATGCTGCCCACGCAGTATCCCAGATCCTGGACCTCCCGGATAGCGAGGTCACAACAGGTCAAACTCAACTCTTCACGCGCAGTATCCATGGCCCTTTCGAAGACTTGCTCCGGAAAAGGGACCCTGTCGCGCTTTTGTTGCTGTATCTATGGTACCGCAAAGCAAGTCGCAGTATATGGTGGATTGAACTTAGAGCTAGAGTGGAATGTCCTTCTATTTGCTCGTACCTACGGCTGTATCACAAAGGGAATGTTGCGGTACAGGCATTCCTTCCAGGAGGTGCTCTCGCCGATAGATGGAATTAGTTAGGCTTTCAAAGCCTCGAATTCTCTTCCCTTTCGGAATTGTTAATATGAAGAACTGCAGCAGTGGTTTTTGAGATTCCCACTAATGCGCCACACTGCGGGGTAGCAGTCGTACATCTTGGGAGTGGCAGGTTGGAGCAGATAAGGCTGTAAACGCGGGAATAGTGGCAGACTTGTATTCCAGGTGCCAAGTCAGCGCAAGTGCTCAGGGCGACGTGGGTCGCGTTGGGGGCCGCCGCGGGTTATGGGTAACCATCCGCTGACATGATGTGAGATAAATAAACTAAGTTAGTTACCTTGCCTGCACCCTGCATCACTCTGTGTCGGCGCGTCTTGTCGAGTCCTTGAAACGGCAGGGGAAAATAAAGATTAAATGGCGTCCCCTATTCTCAGCACCCCTCCAGAGATTTTGCGCATGGTATTTGCATCCCTATCGCCCAGCGATCTTTGCGCAGTATGTCTTACGTATAGGGACTTGCGCTCTCTTGCCGAGCCATTCCTCTACAGACTACGCCCATATTCAATGGACATGGACAAGCTCTCAGAACCCCCCGATCGCTCAGTTTTTGCTCGGCCAAAGATCCTTATGTATCCTCGAATTTTATTGGTATTTTGCTCCTCCTGGTGATTGAACCCACTCAAGTTACGATCGACCCGACTTGGCTGATTTTGCGGTGAGCTTTCGCCCATTTGAATTAATCCTTAAGCTCACATTCAGTCTTCCGCGAATTTCCCATCCATTCTTCCCCTCACCTCCTTCTTGCCTTTTTTTTTTTTTTTTTTTTTTGAAGCATTGGACATAAATTCCATCTCGTTCTTCAGCATTCAACTACGATCCTGTGAGCCCAGTCACATTCGGAGTCTGCAAGTATGCGGACACGTATGTGCTTCGATGATGTCGCATGGGAAGAGAGTGATGCGATTGCGGATGCTTGGGTGGCAGAGCTATTCAAGACTGATACTCTGAGACAAATCGGTGACTTCATCGTTAAGCATCGAAAAGGCGTCCCTACAGAGTTATGTGACCCCAAAGCAGGAGCGTTTAATGTCTCTTTTCGGATGAAATTCGAAGACGGCGGCTCAGCAATTATCCGCTTTCCAAAGCCTGGCGCCAGTATGTTCCCTGAAGAGAAAATTCGGAATGAGGTTTCTGTGATCAGGTATCTTCAGGATCATACATCGATCCCGGTCCCATTCATTCTACACTGGGGAACAAAGGAAGAAAGTCCTCTCGGTTTGGGCCCATTTATTATCATGGAGTACATTGACCATGCCATGGATTTGGGTGCAGCACTGAGTACGCCCGGGCTCAAGATTGAAGACCGTCCACTCCTTGATCCACGTATCGATAGCGATAAGCTTGAAATGCTGTACGGACAGCTTGCGGATATCTTGCTACAGCTATCTAGGTTATCATTTCCTCGGATAGGTTCTCTTACCCAGGTGGATGACTTCACATGGGAAGTAACAGGCCGGCCTCTATCAATCAATATGAATGAACTGATCCGGCTAGGAACTTTACCACGGTCGAAGCTGCCAGCCACCCCCTTCGACACAGCGTCCTCTTATCTTAAAGCGCTCACAGAGCTACATCTTGAGCATTTGGTTCACCAACGGAATGACGCGGCCGATTCCGTGAATGATTGTCGACGGAAGTTTGTCGCCAGACAGCTCTTCTGTAAGCTCGCCAGGGAAGGCCGACTTACGTCCTCTTTCCAAAGCAATTGCGGACCCTTTAAAATATGGTGTGACGATCTTCGACCCTCTAATGTGCTAGTGAACGCAAACTTGTAAATTGTTGGGGTTGTGGACTGGGAATTTACCTACGCAGCACCTGCTGATTTCTCCTATGCACCACCATGGTGGCTGCTTCTCGAACAGCCGGAGTACTGGCCAGGCGGGATTGAGGCTTGGACAAAGGCGTTTGAAACTCGTCTACAGACGTTCTTAAAAGTGCTTATCGAGCGTGAAGTCGCAGCTATTAAGCAGGGAAGGTTGAAAGAGGACCAAAGACTTTCTGGTCCAATGCAGCAAAGCTGGGAAAGTGGAGACTTTTGGGTCACATACGCGGCGAGGAAAAACTTTGCCTTTGATGCTGTCTTCTGGCAGAGACTTGACTATCGGTTCTTTGGGCCCAGTGGGGTACCAGAAGGAGATCGATGGAAACAGAGGATTGACCTCCTTGATGAGGAAGAGAAATACTATATGGAAGAGTTGGTTAACCGAAAGCTTGAAGAGATGAAAGAAAAGTTTTAGCATGGGAACCGAATGAAGTGTATAAATGTTGAACTGCTTGTCGTTCTTATTTTTCATGCAGGATGTGTATATAGTCGTTGATATACTTGTATAGGTCCACGTATTGATTGTTGTCGCCACATTCGGGCCAACCCTGCTAATGCTGCTACCATAAAGCGTGTACCACATATCAATATCTTCCTCAATCTAGGCGGTCCAATCCGCTAAGTTGCCTGAGCCTAGCCGTGTGAGGAATTTCTGTTGGCTCACGCCAAGGTATCCGGTTCGCACATAGCCGAGGACCGTCCTGGCTTCGTTTCCAGGGATTACGGCCGAGGGGGTCCCAAGTATTGCGCTCGTAGAACACGAGACCGGTTCTTTCATAGATGTGAGTATACTAGATGAGTGAGATTCGAGCACTCACCTTGTGTTGCTTTCATCCGTTGATTCGTCGACACCGTCTTCACAAAAGCGGCCACGTAAGAGTCGTAGTCTACAAACTTGACTTTGTCACCGGCTCTCTGTACTGCAGCCGACTGCAGAGCAATTCAAGTTAGTAACAGCTTGACCAGATGAAAGGAAAAGAATGAAAACGAACAATTTGCGAGTTGACAGCATCGACAAGCTCATTCATTGATCTACTGTAAGTTTCTCCTCGCTCTGAAATATGTTGTATAATTTGTGGCCGACAATTAGTACCATGCTAAACGTCGTTTCTATGCTACTCACATAAATCCAGGTTGACCAGCTAACTTTATCACACGCGGATGATAGATCTTCGGCAAAGGATTTAGCATAACTGTATGGCCACTGTCAACGATGCCAGAAGGAAGAAACGGCATGGCACATGCCCAGTGTAGTAGATCATGCCACTATCTTCGGTTAGCATTCAGACCTGAACGATAAAGTATTGTTACTAACTCTGATCCTAGCTCTGCCTTTGCCGCCGAGATAACGGAATCCAGGCTCTTGCTGAAGGCATCCCCAGCAATGAGTTGTTTTGTGCGAGCCAACTGCCCATCGCAGCCAAGACCTAATGAGTCCCAGTCAAAGTTCTTCGCCCATGCATAATTTGAATCTGCAAGAGTGGCTGCCTTTGCCACATCTACTTGATCGGGGTTCAATACGGCCCATTGGAAGATACACTGGTTCAGAATGTTTGAGAGCTCAGCATCATTGCTACCTAAGACCTCACTCATGTCGGTTCAGTTCATGGGAAAGACTTTAGGTATATAGATACCGGCTGATAGCAATATAACCTGCTGGTTCCCGCTGATGTTAGGGATCTGGTCGTTGATGACATTGGCTATGACTGCACCAGAACATGACTCGAACTGTAACGTGTGTGCTGCTGGATCGCCCAGCCGTTCATCCGTATGGATAAGATAGGGATACGCGTGATCATAGCGACTGCACGCCCAATATTTCAGCGGGGAAAATAATCTATCAGTCAACGTACTACAGCCTCAAGTCAGGGAGAGATTGACTTACCACTCTCCGGGTCAAGTGCTTCGACAATAGTTCCAAGCCGGTCACCAGCGCCAATTGCGGCCGAGTAGGAGTCGCCGATGGCGGCCATTCTTGTGATGAAGGAAGGGTCTGTCTGGTCGAATCCAGTCGTATCTCTCGTCATCAAGCGCTCGGAGTTCAAACTTGCATTTCCTAGCGCATTCCAATGCGCAAGACTGGCCATTAGAGATAATTTAATATTGAATGGTGGTCCGAAGAGATATCGGTGGCAGAAACACCAGTATCATAACTGGAGCTATGATAACATTGTACCTGCCCACTTGACTCTTTCTCCTTGAATTATTTGAACCTGAATTCCTGCCTGGGCACCTATGTCTCTGAGCCCCTGTATCATCTCAGGGTCCCAATCCCGCACTTTCATCACCGTCGTCAACAGACAAAATCCTCGGAGGCGAGGTGTGGATTTCTTCCAGTCTTGTAGCCATGATCGAACAGCCCCCAATAGCTATTCAGTCTCCCATTCCCATTCCCATTCTTGCTGGTAACATAGATCGTCAGTGACGGTCAGCCATTCAATGTTTTTTGGAAGTGCTTCCTCTAGGCAAACCACATTTGGCGCCCGTGGAGAAAATCCAAGCAGAAAAGGAATTGGGACTTCCAATTTTTTCAGCCTATGGAGTCCGCTAAAAGTTTTGAAAGACCCGCTGAATGTGAGCTCCGGGCGTTCGAGATCCCCTGGTAAGGCGTCTGATCCTGCCGTAATAGTCAAGTCTGTCAAAGTCTCTTGAACGTGAGATAGATCCGCGGCGATTTGGTCTAAATCGATAGTATCTGTGACAAAATGATCTTCAAGCTCTGGGCAGTAGTACCAATCCCACTGAAGCTTCCGAAGCCCTTGGGTGACTGATAACACTTGACCGAGATGCCCTTCGCGCAACATCGTCAAGTCGAGCGATGCGAGTCTTGATGGATTTGGTGGATATTTCCCAGGCCACATGAAAGTAGTGGGGTTATCGACTAAGGTTCTTATCCTTTCAACCGACGGCAAGTAAAAGAGGGGGAGGATGTCTGCCGTGTTCCTGACGTCCGTGTAGTCGGGAATGTAGCGATCAAAGTCGGGATACACAGCCGACACATCTTGTAGATGTGTAAAGGAAGGGAGATGGCTATCTTGAGACTCGTCGCAGAGGGCCGAACGGAGCATCATGCCCATGAAGCGGCTCTCTCGGGCAAAATTCTTGCCTAGGTAGAGACATCTCAGATTGGGGAGCTGTGATAATAAAAGTGTGATAAACGCGTCCATTGTTCCGGCGCGCAACTCTTGGATCCATTGTTCAGCATATGGAATATGGATCCGTTCAATGCATCTCACTAGCTCGTCCAAGACAACTTCAGTGACTGGGAGTTTGGGACTTTTTGGTCTTTTCTGTCTATAGCCATGCTGGCAGTGATCAAAACTGTCCCCATTGAGGATCACAACATGGACAAAACCGGCGAGCTCGGGCCTGTGCACAATGCTTCGCAAAAACTGAGCGATCGGGGGGTTCTGAGAGCTTGTCCATGTCCATTGAATATGGGCGTAGAGGAATGGCTCAGCGATTATGCGGAACCTTTTATTGACAAGACATAGTGCATGGAGTTCAGCAGACGATAGTAACTGGAACACCAAGTACAATATTTCCGCCGGGCAGCTATTTAGACCAGATGCTGCTTGATGTTTCTAGTGATATTAGTAATAACCTTGAAAGTACCCGCATTGACCACATACAGGTTTCATTGCCAATGACAGCATTAGTGTAAGTTCACTGCTCTTTCGTGTATGCGTATGCAAAGAAGACTGAGGAACTGGTATGTAGGAACTGATGGATAAAAAAAACTGAAAAGTGAGAAAGGTGACAGGGAGTCTAAGTGATAGTTGCTGTAACCCTGGCCTTTGATCCTCCGTCGCTGTTGATTAGACCAAGTACTGTAGCGAGTAAGTAGTGTCACCGGAGCAATCCGCCAGATTCAACCTCATTTGTGGATTTCAGCAGTAAAACTCAAATCGCTCTTCTTTCCTAGCCAAGAAAAACTAACTAAAGACACTACTTGCCCCACTAAGTTGTGAGATAGGGCTATGTACATTGGAGGTGTGGGGGTGATGGCGTTGGGCCGGCCGAATTCCCGACCCTTAGTGGGCCAGGATTTTCAGGGTTCTTGGCAAAACCCTGAGAGAAGAGGGTAATAGCTTTTTAAAATTTCACCCAAAGACATAGGTGCCCAGACAGGAATTCAGGTTCAAATAATTCAAGGAGAAAGAGTCAAGTGGGCAGGTATAATGTTATCATAGCTCCAGTTATGATACTGGTGTTTCTGCCACTGATATTTTTTGGACCACTATTTAATATTAAATTATCTCTGATGGCCAGTCCTTTCCTAGCCAACGAACACTCTGGGTTGACCCCCGCATAACTGAATCTGCTCCATCCTGGTCGGGCCTCCTGCAAGGTTTGCCAGCGTGTAGGGCGCTGACGGTGTGGTCGTACTTATGACCCTGAGCCCCTGATCTTGTGTGAAAAGATTGCAGCCCCAAAAGTCCTGCACATTTGTTACTCGGGTGCTGCGGCACCTCGCCCCCCCCAGGAAGAGCATCCACTGTCCAGGTCGACACACTAGCGCCAGCGTCGAAGAGCGCAGCCACAACTTCAGGGTGCGCCATTTGGGTCGCGAGAGCGAGTCCCTCGTTGAGGTCGTCGGCGGTTAGTCGCCCGCTGGCGAGGGCTTCCTGGGTCTTTAACAGCTCACCAGCGAAGCACGCGTCGAGAAAGGCATCGAGAAAGGCATCGTCGGATTCCATGGTGCACGTGAGATGGAGATTTGTGTGGTATGTAGGTAGGTTGAGCTTCGGTAACTCGATATTTTTGACAAAAGATACTAGTTTACATGCATCGGGTAAGCGGTCAGAGTTGGCGGAAGCAGAGAGCGTTTGTGACCACAAAAACCAGCAAGTTTATATAAAGAGGTGCCCCTGCCTCCACACTTCCCGATGTAACCCACAATGGCGGCCCGACCCCTGGTGGCTGCTGGTGGCTGCTGGAGATAAACCTTAGCAGCATCTCCACTTGCCGATCACTGACGATCTTGACCACGAGGAGTTGTCATTCAGCGGGTGTTGTCGACATTATCATCCACTTCTTAGATCGCGTGCTGCATTAGGTGGCTTAACATCAAGAGTACTCCAACCATAGGAACAGTTAAGTCAGATAGGCAGGATGCATAGGAAGGAGGTCTACTCCGTTGTAAATCTTTTCATTCCATACTGGCTGTGCAAGCATAGCCAATCGTCCCTACGGAGTAATAATGCAGGGGCATCAGGTCATCATTGCAAGCCACTACAGTTGCTTGCAGCTCGTTCCTATGGACAGAAGATAATTTTGGCCACCAAGTACAGCTAGCCACTACTGGCCCCGCCAACTATGTGAAGATTTCTTCTCAAAGGTCTTTGAGAAATTTCAGACTCTTGAATACGTGCCCTATTTTGATCCGGATAACGGAGCGGAAGTTCCAAAACGTAAAATCAAGGAGAATCCCATACTATTCCAGAATATTTGGCCTGGTGGAATTCGCCTTCCAACTGATCCCCAGGCTGCTGTTCAGCAGTGCGGGGAAAGGGAAGTTGGCCAGGATAGCATACGTGGTGATCTTAATCAATGGAGGGCTTTACAGAAGCTCTATCGCGATGCGGGCTGGGAGAATGAATTTAACGGGGAGCTTTTTGACAATAGACGAAGGGATTTGTTGCGTGTGATGAACGATCTCCAGGGCCAATCCACCAGATGGAACTCAATTCCACCGCATAGGCAAACAGAGGAGATGCGAATCGCGGAGCGGGAGTTTCGTCAACGTCGGGAGGCATTTTGGGCTGAAAGTGCTGGAGAGTACTATCTTTAACATCTTGCTTTATCTTGCTGCTATTCTATCAGTTACAAAGTATGCTGGCGGGAAGGTCGACCAACATTATAGACCACCTCCAACAACAGCGTACATTGTATCTGCCAAAACTCTAGCAGATAGGGCGATTTATGGTACAGGACTAGATGCTGCATTTGGAAGCCGTTCCATGCCGTCAAGTTTTTTCTCGCGCTGTCTAGATATTTGCAAGAATCTTTTCGCGTCGAAGTCGAAACCATAAGTGGCGAGAGGCAGGGAAGGGCTTTGTACCAATACTTTCGAGACACAAATAGTGGGCTTTCCGTCCGTTGACTGTCTTTAAGGTGCTAAGTTTCTCCAAATTCGCGAGAAACAGCCAGGATTGAATCAGAGTCCTAAGACTATGAGAGGATAAGGGGCTTTCATCGCAAAGTAATCCATGGTGACTTGGAAATATCTCAAATTCACGCAGGCCAGGTATCTAATATAGAACCTTGAGCAGCAATGGAACCTCTGTTAGAGATATAGTTAAAGAGGGTGGTGTAGGGACAGAATCCAATAATGCAATTCGAAAATCATGTGATGGGGGAAATGAGCCTCTTCAGATAAAGACCAACCTAAATATTTACATTCTTCTCTGTCGCTCCCGTAAACTGGAAAACCAAGAGCCATTCAAAAACAGATTACCCCTTTGACACTCACGCTTTCTTTCCCAGCGCCCCACGCAGATTGCGCTAAACTGAATTCGGTCAGGGAAAGACCCATCTTTTCTTATGTATTTCTGGTAGATCACTAAAATTACCGTCACATCCAATGTAATTTTTCAGAGGCTGCAGGATGGCTCCACTTGCCGGGTGATCGACAAGAGACAAAGAAAACCGCGCTCGAACAGCGCATGCACAAGCCCAAGGATTCAGATACCGACCAGACCGGACTGTCAGCCTGTCAGAGCCCTGTCCGACTAGCAGCATAATCCGTACGTTGCTGCCTAGGAGTTCCCCTGAGAGAAATCCCTCGTCTTCTCCCTTCCCGTTCACCCTTTCCCGCGATTTAAGACCCCGTGGGGTTCTACCAGGTTGGCACTTCTCTTTCATCTTCATTCATTCATCTTCGTACTCATTATTGCAACCGAACCAATCCATCAGTCAACACCGTCGACACCTCATAATGCATAATCTCCGTGATTCGCTGCTCAGCCCTTCGCCACGAGGCACCCCTCACCTCACCACATCAGAAGCTTTTCGGATAGACCAGGAGGACACGCGTCAGTGCATCGCTCGGGGAGAATTCAAGGAGATTCGGAGCGCGGCCTTCAGTAACCGAACCTGGATCACCACCTCCCGATACTGCGAGCTTGGAGATGGTGTGGATTCCCTCGAAGAGTACATTCATTCCATGTGGTATATGTACTACCAGCTCGGTCGGAATATCTCGTACGAAACGCCCGACCACGAGGGTCTTGTCCTCGACATCGTCCGCATTCAAGGAATGGGACCGCTCACTCGGCCCGTGCGAGGAAATTACGGTGTTGATATCGCACGAACTGCCGAAGGCACACTGTGGAATGATCTGCCCTTCTTGGCCACCGACATGACCAACTTCTGGAACAGCGACTTCCCGACGATGTCGGGTACACACCGACTCAACTTTGCGACTTTCCTGGCCAAACTGGCATCAACTCGCGTCGGCAAGGATAGGTTGTGCCAGATTGCCCTCATTCTATTCCGCAATCTGTTTGAGGAGAGACAGGGACTTCGCAGCGGGGAGGAGTCGGATGATGAAGATCCAAAGCGAAGCATGCATCAGCTTGAAATTTTTCACTTGTTGCCAGCTGCCGTGGCTTGGCTCCGCCATACAGGCCACAATCTTATTCTACTCTCAGAGGTCTATTGGAACGATTGCCCCAGTATCATCAGCAAGGGTGGCGAGATGTTCATTGAGTCAGAGCTTGGGCAGCGATCACCCACTGGATTCTCGCCATGGAGATACATATACTGGCTCAAGCGACTCCATGAAATCCAGGAGGAGGCCAAAGAGGCCAAAGAGGAACTCTTAGAAGAGTACGCCACCGATGCCATTGACTACATGCTCAACAAACTCGTGCAACGAAACTCTGAAATTTTAAGGGCATACCAGAACGGTGGAGATGCCTTGCATCAGGAAAAACATCTGCTTTGCCTGAAGAGTCTTTTGAAGAGTGAAGCTACGGAGAATAAAGACTCGAAGGATGACTCGAAGGATGGCGTAAAATAAGTAAGACGCGAAGGAACATTTATCGACAATCAGTATTATGGAACCTTTACTTCTCTTGAGGACCGTATACAGCGTTTGGACCATGAACAGCAGCATGAGATGAATGAGCTTGTGAGGATCAAGACTGGCCAAGGCAATAAGAATAAGGAAAGTTTCGACGATCACTATCCAATTGATAGGCTACTTGAATTATGATGGTGTCTCTATCTAGCATCGAGTCGTGCTGCGGTCCACTAGATAGTGGCGTCTCTTCGATCGGATTCAAATTGGGTGAGTACGGAGGCAAATACACCAGCTTCATCCCTGCTTCCCAGCACATTTGCTCTATTATTCTCTCAGAGCGGTGAAACAAGGCATTGTCCATAACAAGAACAGAATTTGGCGCAGGGTATTTTCCACCATGAAGAAGCTCCCCGATAATATCTTCAAATATGGAGGCATCAGTCGAGCCCTGGAGAAAGGACAATGCCGTCTTGAGCGTGCACAGGGAGTATCTGATACCGCTGATCGCTGCTACAGTATGCCAAGAGGAGTCTGAAGTTTACACTTCCACCTCCTTCGACAAGGTACGCAAAACGCAAGAGATCATGATTCGACTGGAGCAGTTGGTATTTCCCCTCCCCTTTTACTTATTTCCGTATCTTCAGTGCGAATGAGATCAACGAATGTATGCGGTTCCACAATTGCGCAGAACCCAATATTAGCGACGGTTGATAACCGCACTTCAGTTGAAGGAGGAAATCGTGAGGTTTGGCACTAGCTTGAAGTAGGATATTAGCTGTTCTTGCACAAAGGCAAGGACGTAGGTAGAGCGTAGAAGAAGTCTTAACAAGGAAGGTGTTGGTTATACGCTGTGAATCTGGAGCAATGGAATTACTCAGATCTATAAATCAGATAGAAGACTTGGATCCATGGAGGGTGAAGAGCGGGATTAGGATTTGAATAGTTCAAGGCTGGAATATTAAGGTAGTTCCACCTATGCTCACCCAGCGTCGCACCAACCTTTTGACTGTGTTGAAGCCGGTTAGTAGTTGGGCGGACAACCACCAGCGAATCCCAGCTGTTGTATGTTTTCCAACTTTTGGCTCCCTATCTTTTGACATTTTGCACTGCTTTTTGGTAACTAGAATAGATGTGATTACCAGAGCTAGGGGAATTTCTTAAGGCTGGAGGAGCATCGCACAGTCTCTCTGTGCCGTTGATTATTTTTAGGCCAACAACTTCACTCCCATCATTGGTCTAATAAAGGGAAACAAAAGTCTACCTATGCTCAACGCAGCTCGAAGCAGGTACCCGACATAATGATCGACCTGTCTACATGATAACTACACTCCAGTCACCCATCCCCTCTCAATCCCAATTTCCAATCCCCAAAATGATGCATTCCCCTCCCTCAACCCTCTCTCAGGATGGTCCAACTCTTCCCACCCCGCCATGTCTACTTCCCCTCCACACCCTCCCACACCTGCACCGTCATCCTCCTGCATGACACCAACAGCACAGGCGCCGAGCTAGCCGCCGCGCTGGCCGCGTCCACCTCAACAGCAACACCCGCCGGAAAATCCATCTTCGAACACTTCCCCTCCTGCCGCTGGGTGTTTCCCTCCGCCCAGCCCCGCCAGACAGACACCTGCCACGCAAGCCGGGGGAACTGGATCGACGCAGACGCAGACGCAGACGCAGACGCAGTTTCTCCGCACTAGGCACAAGCACAAGCACAGCTCAGCCCCTCCGCCGCGGAAGACCTAGAAGTCTGTGTAGAGTCCATCCTGCAAATAGTAGAGGAGGAGGTCGTGAGGCTAGCGGGAGAGGGCCACCGCGTGGTGCTGGGTGGGTTCGGGCAGGGGATGGCCGTTGCGGCTGCTGCGTTGATCGCGCAGCGCAGGCGACTGGGTGGGTTCGTTGGGGTGAGCGGGTGGGTTCCTTTAGCGGGGGGGATTGACGGGATAGTGGCCCATGGCGGGCTTGCTAGAGACGAAGCGGCGAGGGTAGGGTCAGAGGCATTTCGACGGGATTCGGTGGCGGGTGGGTTAGGAGTGGATGGGCGGGAGCTGGATGCTGATGCTGATGCTGATGCTGGGGATGTCGGACTCGCGAGTGCGCCCAAGGCGCCGTTGCAGGATGGTTCGGCCGGTTCGTTGTGGGAGACTCCGGTTCTTCTGAGCTATCTTGAGGATGATCCTTGCGTGGATATTCGAACAGGGTTGATGGCCTACGAGACATTGAGTCGCATGGGATTTGTCAAGGTGATCTGGGATCCTCTCCGGGCTTCACAGCAAGGCGAGAATTGGCTCTTAGATTCGAGCCAGTTAGATACAATTGTGGGTTTCCTGGCAGAGGTGTTTGGTCATGAGGGGTGACAGTAAGCCTTGCATAGCACACAGCATCTCCGCTCATGATGTTATGTTACGATAATCTATTTATCGGGTTTTGTTTCCTACTCGACGAGCATATCAGGCAGGCAATTGCATCTCCTAAAACTAGTATTTCCAATCGCTCACGTCGTTACTTACAGGCTGAAATGAACTCGCTAAACCAATCTTTTTGCCTTTCTCTGCAAACACTTTTGAAGACCAGATGAATCGGAGAGGAGACAAAGGGGTTGCACGCTCCGCGCCAGGAGCATCGTCCCGATGGGTGCCATCGCATGCTGAGAAGCGACGGAACCAGGAACGGAAATGGAACCTGAAATTACACGGGAGAATATAAGTCACGAGAAGTGTCCAGCCGCCCTCCAAAAGAAGGCCGTAACACAAAGATATATAAAGACAAAACAAGAAAAGGAGATTTCAGCAGCCACTAAGACCCGTGGCATCTGCTGGCATCCCCATGTAAGTGGTGCGGAAAGGGTGAAAAGGACTCAGGTTAGCAATGCTTGAGGGAGAAATCGCAGAAAATGAGAATGCTAAACTTCAGAGAAGCTCTTGCAGATCTAGAATGTCAAAAAGCACCCGCTGATGCAATGGAACGTGCATGTGATGGGCATAGATCGAATCTATATCGTTCGTGTTTCTCTTCATGCCTTGTCCTCAATAGAAGCCTTCTGGAGCTCCTCGGAGACATCGGCGGTGGCATCGTTCTCCTGCTTCAGCTCAGCGTCGGCAGAGACTTTGCCATTGACACCGCTGTTCTCAATAGCGACCTTCTTAGCATGGTCGGTGGCACGCTGGCTGTCAGAGTTCGCCTCTTCCTCCTCCAGGCGCTTGATCTCCTCCTGAGCCTTCTTGATGTTCTACACGAATCAGTCAGCGCATCGAACATCGAGTGCAGATATCTGTGTTAACTCACCTCCTCAGTCTTAGCGGCCTGGTTCTTCTTCCATTCGGTGATCTTGGCGGCAAGCTTCTCGACAATAGCAGGAACATCGGACTGATTCATAGGAGGGTCGATCTTGACCTTGGCAAAGTCCTCGATGACACCGACGTTGAGGTTGAACTTGGTGGCCTCGGCAGGAGTTCCCGGGGCAGGGCTGCCATTGGCGCTGCCTTTCTTACCCTTCTTACCCTTCTTGCCGCCAGTGCCGACGAAGTAGTCTTCCTCGCAGTCCTCCTTCTTCAGGACCTTCATGCCCTTGATGTTGGAGTCGTCAACGGTACGACCGACCTGAGCACGGAAAGCGGAAGACTGGTCCTTCTTGTCATCGAGACCAAGGGTGGAGAAGTCGTAGGACGGGTTGAAGTGGCGGATAAGACCTTGAGCGATGAGAATCTCGTCGGTGTAAGCGGGACGGGAAGCCTCTTCAAGCTTCTTGTCGGCGATCTTCTTCCTCTTTTCGCGCTCGAAGGCCTCACGCTGGGCCTTTTGCTTCTCCCGGCGGATCCTCCAGGCCTCGTCCTCATACTCCTTGTACGCCTTGCGGGCCTTGTAGTAGTTGTCTTTGATCTCACGGATGGCAGTCCACTTCTTCTGCTGCTCAGCGTGCAGCTTGGTGCGCTCATCTCTCAGGGCGTTCAGGTTCTTGAAGGCACTGTCCTGCTCGGCCTTGATGGCATCGAGCTCTTTCTGGATCTCAGTGTACTTGTCGCTCAGAGCCTTGGCTTCGGGGTTGTCGAGAGTCTTTTTGAGGGTAGCAATCTGCGCCTTCAGGTCGTTGATCACCTTCTGCGCCTCGTCCAAGCCGGCAAAGTTCTTGCGCTGCTTACGAAAGGTCGAGATGTCCGAGAGAGCCTTGCGCTCGTCCACCAAGCGGAGAGTACCAGAGTCAACTTGCTTCTCGAGACGGGCGATTTCACGGTCAATATCCTCGACGTTCTTGAATGGCATGCGAGTGCGGGAGTTGTTCTGTTCGGTAATACGGGCCTTGAGGGTCGACTCCAGAGCATTGATCTTCTCCTGAGTGCTCGTTCTCGAGGCCTTGAATCCCTGCTGCTTTTGACGAATGGAGGAGAGCTCAGCGCGAAGTTCCTGTTGTCTCTTGGCTGCGGGCGAGTCCTGGTTGTTAGGCTTGGCGGTTTCGATCTTGGCCTTGATTTGGTTCTGCGCGAAGTCAGTATCTTTATATATGCTATACAGTTATGCAACCGGTCGTATACGGATATCGTTAAAAGCAGAAGAGGAAAGGACAGAAATGTGAGGGTCATTTTCCCACGGAAGGAGGGGTAGAGCTATGGGAAGAGATAGGAAGAGGCGCATTGTGCGGAGCATCAAACAAAACAAAGTAACAAAACCGTTGTTGATTGAGTGAGACATCACATACCAATTTTTCCTGGACAGCAGCATGCTCCTTTTCAGCCTGAGCGAGATCGGCCTTGAAAGCCTCCTCGTTGGGCTTGGTCGGCCTGGCTTTCTGCTCCATGGCAGGAGCGGCATTGACGGCGGCGGCCATGACTTTTGAGAATTGAAGGGAGGAGGGGATGAAGGAGGAAGAGATGAGTGAGGAGAAACTCAAAAGTGAGCCGAGATTGATCGTGTGGATCAATCGCAGAGAGACAGCTCAGGGGAGTGGGAAGAAAGGAGGGTAACACGAGAGTGGTACCTTAGAGGAGAGGAACACAAAAATAATGATAATTGCCAGGTAGGCGGAAAGTTGGGGAAGGAGAACGAGAACTCGTGCCTCTCTTCTTTCTCTGGCTCACCCTCTCTTTTTTTCCTTGCTCTTCTATGGTAGGTCTGGCCTTTACTGGCGTCTGATTCTCTTCTGGTTGGCGGCGCTTACCATATTGGCGCTCTTAGCGCAGGTCCGCCCGATTTTTCGAGAACTTCGATCTCTATCAGTTTCCAAAGTCTCTACTTATCAACCAATTTTTTTCCATACAACCTCCCCTGCGCCCAACGTATTGCTCGGCGCTCTCGCAGAGATAATATTTCATTCTCTGGTCACATTTTTCTCTTGACGCAGCGGACAGGCGCGGTTACTTCACCTTTCCAGCCATGGATGAAGAATACACCAGCTCTGCGGAGGCCGACCGCGAGATGACCAGACTTTGGCGAACCTGGAGGACGGTATTCGAGATGCTGGCGGATCGGGTAAGTGATTTCTGAGACTTTCCGATTGTTCGGGCTATGTCGTCGTGCGGCTACGCTAACACGATTGTTCTGCTCTGTAGGGGTACGAAGTCACAGAAGAAGAGATTCAAATTCCCCTAGACGAGTTTAGACGGAAATACGCGGATCCTGTGGGATTCCCTGAGTATGCGACTACCCTGGACTTCTTTGGCATCACAATTCGACTCATCTAACGCACTTTCTTCAACTTCATACAGTCGCAGCAAGATGAAAATCAGCGCTCGTCCCACAGCAGCTATGCAAGCCAAATACACGACTTTGCCCACCCCCGCCAACCCGGACCCTCAACCTGACTGCGGTACTATTTACGTTGAGTTCTGTGCCGATTCCTCCGGTGTCGGTACCAAGCAAGTTCGAGCCTTCAATCACTTCGTCGACGAAAACAACTTTCACACTGGAGTCTTCATCACTCAGACGCCTATCTCCCCATCTGCTGTGCGCCTACTGAGTGGTATTCCCGGTCGTATCTGTGAGCATTTCCAGGAGCAGGATCTACTGGTCAACATCACCCGCCACGAATTGGTTCCCAAACACGTCCTGCTGAGCCCAGAGGAGAAGAAGAATCTTCTCTACCGGTACCGATTGAAGGAGTCGCAACTGCCTCGTATCCAGGTCTCTGATCCTGTTGCGAGGTACTTGGGTTTGCGGCGCGGACAGGTCGTCAAGATCATCCGAAAGAGTGAAACCGCCGGTCGCTATGCCAGTTATCGCTGGGTAATTTAATCGCGCTGGACTGCATCAGTATGCATGTCTTTTTGGCTACACAATCATCCACAGAAGACTTTTGTGCGCTTTTCGCATCTTCATAAGTCAGTGAGTCAAGCAGAGGTCCTGCGGTTGTAGCACTGTCTCTTCGCTCTGCTTAGAGGACCAGGGTTTACGTTTTTCAGTACAATCCGTTGCGCTAAATGAGATGCGTCCGGAAGTGATCTCGAATTGAAACTACTATTATACCCTCGGATTTCGAAACCAAGCTTGGAGAGTTTTGTTGCGTGATGACGACAGCAACGAGTGGTTGCAGGGAAAGGGATCAAGAAAGAACAAAGAAAACATCGAAAAGTTCGTCCACTTGTACGTATTATGGGCAGCATGGCGCAAGGGCGAAAGAGAGACTTCAATTTTGGTCGGGAACTGTATCGTCACCAAGCTTTCTTCAATTCTTTGTGATCTTATGTATGTATGCAAGTCCGATATGTTCTATTAGTCAACCACTCCAAGGTATAGAACAAATCAGAATCCATACAGAGACTTAGATAAATGTTTGATATTCAATTTCATCAGGATGACTTTGTCCGGAAGCTTGACAGACAATTGGTGCTCGGTGCGTTTAATGCCTCAGGCCGAAAGAGCCCCCACGAATAGCCGCCGGCGCTGGACAGGCCGAGAACGCTGCCGAGAGTACGTCACGCCCCCGTGATTTGAGTCTGCTATTACTTGATGTTTCTTAAATAATTATTCCTTGTGATCCTCGGCCACATGTACCATTTTTTTTGTTATTGCGCAACATTTTCAATGAGACCCTCAATACTAATCTGATCTTTGTTCTCGAAAATGATGGTTTGAGATCTTGATTTCGATTGCTCCTTGTTTTGTGATACCATCGCTACCGCTACTATACACTTTTCCCTTCGTTCTCCTTCGTCAGAATCGCGACAATGCAAGAAGTGACCGTAAGACCTTCCCATGTTTACCACTTGATCTGGTCCCGGCTTAGCAAGATGCTGACCCAATTTCTATCCAGACTCTTTTTGTGAAGACTCAGCCGGGTTCTTACATGCGTTTACGCTCTCTTTACCCGTCGATCCGGCGATGCTCCCGAACCCGGACTTCTCTACGCTCCTTTTCCACCGACTCT